TTTCACGATTTACAATGGCATATTGGAGAGAAAAGTCGTTCGAATCAAAGTAGCAGCACAACTGATTCAGTGGTCCGTTTCCTCATTGATTATTGCATTCGTTGCGGCCGCGATGGCAACGGCGGCCAAAGACAACAACTGGATAAACCTTCGGTTTGGCCTCGTCTTGGCGACTGGTTCTACTACATGTTTTTTCTGCTTTTTTTTCTCTAGGTGTTATCCAAGAATCGGTAAAGAAACTAATATCTGCCACCGGGATCGCGTAATTTAATATATTATTTAGTGCTTGTCCAATATAGGTCCCTACATTTTCTATTTTCTAGACATATAGCCATCATTCTATAAAGAATAATGCTACTTTTACCACATTTGTATACCACATTCTCATACCACCTTATGTGGCAGCTGAGGTGGACAGTCACATCAATTAAAATGATTTAATATTTTCTTTTATTTTATGGTTTATTCCAGTATTTGTTTTTCTAATTGCCTTAATTAAAATGCACTTCATTGATTTAATTGATGTGACATATAAAATGGACATGCCACATCATGTGGTATAGAAATGTGGGATAAAATGTGGTAAGTGTAGCATTTCTATATGTAAAACCCAATTTCAAATTTAAATGACCAATAGGATATAAGAGGTCATAGTATTCCTACGTTTTTACATCATTGCCACTAAACTTCATATTTTATTTATAATTTATTTCAAGCATTTTATTAACTACCATAATTGTAATTAATACTTCCTATTAATAGCATATCAATCACCCCATTTCTTTTGGTTACTATTCTCTCTAACATATCGCCCATTGCAAACCAAAAATATATATATGTAAATTACATATCCAATAATGTACCTATGAAAAATATAAATATAAATATATACGTATAAAAATATAGGTATATTATTTACCAAAAAAATTTACAAAAAAATAAGTACATGATAATTTATAGAAAATATAGATACACAATAATTTATTAAAAATAATAGGTAGATTATTACTGAAAAATAGGTATGTAATAATTTATAGAAAACATAGATACACAATAATTTGTAATAAAAAAATAATAGGTAGATTATTATCCATGAAAAAACTAAATTATAGAAAAATAGGTGCACAATAAAAAAAAAAAAAAAAAAAAAAAAAAAAAAAAGAGATTATTATCCATGAAAAAAGTAGGTACAATAAATGAAATCCAAGTTCAAAAATAGGTAATTATTATTCGGGAAAGATTGAACAAAATTTCAAAAAGGCAATAAGGAAAACAGACTTTTTTGGCCAACAAATTGTTAACTATATTAATGAATTTTAATAATAAAACGGATAATTAATTGCAGACAAAAATTTTAGAGGGAATCACCACAATAAATTGGGGAACCAAAAATTAAAACATCACCCCATTACACATTGAAAAATAAATAGGGGTATTTTGGCAATCAAAAAATTATAATAAATGAGATATTGAGTTTAATAAGATAACTTGATGAGTTGGATCCTAGTCATGAGTTTTTACTTATAAAAGTTGGGTATTATTTATAGGAACAAAAAGTGAAGGATTACAGGTAAGGTAAGTTGAATTTAAAGGGTGTAAGCCAAATTTACTATAAATAGAAATGTGAGGTTTAAATAGAAATTGGCTTTTGAAAATGACACCTTGCCAGGAAAGAATCCACATGGCTAGTTGAAGTACTTAATTAATATTGAACTCTCTCGCTCGATTCAAATTGTCTTGCAGTCAACTTGAGTAAATTATATGCTATGTGGATTCTTTCCTGGCAAGGTGTTTTAAATAGGAAGTTTTGTTTTGATCGCTCAGAAGCTTCTTGTCTATTAATTTACTCAAGTTGACTGCAAGACAATTTGAATCGAGCGAGAGAGTTCAATATTAATTAAGTACTTCAACTAGCCATGTGGATTCTTTCCTGGCAAGGTGTCATTTTCAAAAGCCAATTTCTATTTAAACCCCACATTTCTATTTAAGTGTCACTTCAAATTATTCCCATTGGACCAAGTCTAGTTGATATTTTTGTCAATATCTTCTAACTTTTTGTTATAGCATTTGCTCTCATCCCTGTCGTTACGTTTGTATATCAAAAACTCGGGGAGAGACAAGTCAGTAACCTAGTAATTTAGAAGCGTCACTTCAAATTATTCCCATTGGACCAAGTCCAATTGATATTTTTGTCAATATCTTCCAACTTTTTGTTATAGCATTTGCTCTCATCCCCGTCGTTACGTTTGTATATCAAAAACTCAGGGAGAGACAATCAATAACCGAGTAATTTAGAAGCGTCACTTCAAATTATTCCCAGTGGACCAAGTCAAGTTGATATTTTTGTCAATATCTTCCAACTTTTTGTTATAGCATTTGCTCTCATCCCTGTCGTTACGTTTGTATATCAAAAACTCAAGGAGAGACAAGTCAGTAACCGAGTAATTTAGAAGCGTCACTTCAAATTATTCCCATTGGACCAAGTCCAGTTGATATTTTTGTCAATATCTTCCAACTTTTTGTTATAGCATTTGCTCTCATCCCCGTCGTTACGTTTGTATATCAAAAACTCAGGGAGAGACAAGTCAATAAGCTAGTAATTTAGAAGCGCTTATCATAAGTGTTTGTTATTATTGGTTTATTAGTTATAAGTGTCTGTTATTGGTTTCCTCAACATAAGTTTTGTCAACTTTTTATGGTGTTTTTTGTTTTTGTTTCATATTTTTTTAGAGCATCCACAATATCCCACCAAAATCATATATTATTAAGCGAACTCATCTACTAATGAGCCCAAACCACAGCAGAGGCAATAATTTCCTACTCGTTATCGATAATATCGCGATATAAAACTGAAAAATAAATGAAAATTGTTGAGAAATGGCGGTTTTGCGCACAAGGGGACTCGAACCCCTCTCTCTCTAATCCTCCTAAAGCGCCTTATCCAACATGCCGCGGACGAGTTTGTTGATAAAGCTATGACGTGTATATATTTATATGGTTTTTAAAATTTTTGCTAATCTAGGATATATAAATTTCTTTCATTATTAAATTTAAAAAAAAAAAAAAAAAAAAAAAAAAAAAAAAAAAAAAATCAATAAATTTAGGCATATGTTTAATGTTATTTATTATTTTATTATGGAGTTGTATTTTTTGTTTTTGGTTATATATTATGGAGTTATATTATTATTCACTATTGAGTTTTAATATTGTTCATTATATGTGATACTAAGTTTTAACGAATTCTTTCTATGTGGTATTAAGTTACTCATATATATTTTCCAAGCTCATATATCTTATCATCTGTAATATATTGTAGTAAATTATTATAACTAAAAAATTATGGTGTGTTTAATTTTCTTTCACTAATTCACTACATATTTTCTACAGATATAGTGTTTGTCAGGTCGCTACATAATCAACTTAAATCACTCAAACCCACCATGCCATGCATTTTATTCCATTTTTTTTGCGATAAAATAATAGACAATTGACTAAATAAACATTCTCTAAAGTTACAATAAAAATTTCCAAGTTCTCACAATTTCCGTGATTTTTATTCAATTTTTATCGATATCGATATTTCCTCGATATTTCCATCGATATATCCGTGTTTTTGGACCATCGATATTTCCGAAACTCTCGATATTTTAGACCTTGGCCCAAACAACCTTGGAATATCCAAATCAGAAAAATAAATCATCAGCAATTATGAACAATAGAAAAAAGGCTATAAAGCAATTATGTCCTCTGTCATCGATGCTAAATTAATAATGACTAAAATGTGACAGGCAATAGGCTACAAATGTTGTCATATTTAAGGATCGACATCTAAGTGAACAAGGTTATTTCAGGACCCGCCCCGAATTTTCCCGGAACCCGAGACGAACCCTGTGGAATTCCTGACATCACCCCGATGTTGGGCCCACTTCTGAAAACTATAACCTCTTTCTCTTAAAAGAGTAAGGGCACGAGACTTTCTACTGAAATTTCGACAGAGTCTCCCTTGTAAATTGAACATTCTCCAAAATTTCCACCTGCATAAAACACTTTTTTTTTTTTTTATAACCCAACCGGCAGCATGCACAATATAATTTCATACAATTTACATAAACGGCCTCCGGCCTTCAAATGATTCTAACAGAACTGCCAACAATGTTCTTAAATCAACTTAATGCATCAAAAATGCATATATCAAACTCAAATTTATTTATGCACGCCTACTGCATTCAACCTGAGATAACTTCCCCAAATACCCGATATGCGAGGTTTTAACCTCTTAATAAAATCGAAATCCACAAATTAACAACATTCCCTCAGTCCAACGAAATAATAAGAATTTAATCAATCAAGCCCCATTTCCAAACAAGTTCCAGGACCAACGACAAGGTCCAAGTTTAGCCCGCGGCTGCACCTAGGTGCTATGCTAGGTTGCCTACGTACCCTTACTAAAAGATCAAGCCACACATGGTTCTTTCTCTAAATCACAACTCAATAATACTCACAAACTCTCCCCATACGCCGGAACATCCAAAGTCACGCATGGGGCATGTCCGGACCTCATCAACATACCACGTAATCCCCTCATATGCCGATACTACAACCAACGCCACATATGGGGTCTGTCAACACGCCGGCTACTCCTACGACACGTGCGACCTCAACACAACATCAATATCCCCCATATGCTGGTACGACGACCAACGCCGCATATGGGGTCTGTTAACACGCCGGCTACTCCTACAACACGTGCGACCTTAATTCAATATCAATATCCCCCATATGCCGGCACAACGACCAACGCCGCATATGAGGTCTGTCAACACGCTGGCTACTCCTACAACACGTGCGACCTCAACACAATATCAATATCCCCTATATGTCGGTACAACGACCAACGCCGCATATGAGGTCTGTCAACACGCTGGCTACTCCTACGACATGTGCGACCTCAACACAACATCAATATTCCTCATATGCCGGTATAACGACCAACGCCGCATATGGGGTCTGTCAACACGCCGACTACTCCTATGATAGGTGCGACCTCAACACAATATCAATATCCCCTATATGCCGGTACGACGACCAACGCCGCATATGAGGTATGTCAACACGCCGACTACTCCTACGACACGTGCGACCTCAACACAATATCAATATCCCCCATATGTTGGTACGACGACCAACGCCGCATATGGGGTCTGTCAACACGCTGGCTACTCCTACGACATGTGCGACCTCAACACAACATCAATATCCCTCATATGCCGGTACGACGACCAACACCACATATGGGGTCTGTCAACACGCCGGCTACTCCTACGACACGGGCGACCTCAACACAAAATCAATATTCCTCATATGCTGGTACGACGACCAAAGCCGCATATGGGGTCTGTAAACACGCCGGCTACTCCTACGACACGTGCGACCTCAACACAACATCAATATCCCCCATATGCCGGTACGACGACCAATGCCGGATATGGGGTCTGTCAACACGTCGGCTACTCCTACGACACGTGCGACTTCAACACAAGATCAATATCTCCCATATGCCGGTACGACGACCAATGCCACATATGGGGTCTGTCAACAGGCCGGCTACTCCTAAGACACGTGCGACCTCAACACAATATCAATATACCCCATATGCCGGTACGACGACCAACGCCGCATATGGGGTCTGTAAACACGCCGGCTACTCCTACGACACGTGCGACCTCAACACAACATCAATATCCCCCATATGCCGGTACGACGACCAACGCCGCATATGGGGTCTGTCAACACGTCGGCTACTCCTACGACACGTGCGACTTCAACACAAGATCAATATCTCCCATATGCCGGTACGACGACCAACGCCACATATGGGGTCTGTCAACACGCCGGCTACTCCTAAGATACGTGCGACCTCAACACAATATAAATATACCCCATATGCCGGTACGACGACCAACGCCGCATATGGGGCTGTCAACACGCCGGTTATTCCTACGACACGTGTGACCTCACATTCACAGGGTGGTACTTATACGGGCTAATCAAACACAATTTATAAAATCATATATATATATATATGTATAAGTTCCACTATGGAAAACCTCAACCCCGGTATAGCATCCGATAATTCTCCAATTAAAAAAATAATAAATTAATATCCTAAATCCCACATAACCCACAAAACTAAACAACCCTCAAGACCTGTCACTAGGGTCCTTATAATCCTCCTAGGGAGGTAAACTACCTCGGAAGACTCAAGGTCAACCAAGGGTCAAACTACTCACACTTGGTCAACCGGGCCCACAGGGCCCACGACCTCCAAATTCCGATCCGAAAGTTCCATAGGTTCTACAAGGCTTAGGAAACACGACCTGCAAGTTTGGTCCAGATCAGACGGTCAGATTGCTCACGATCGCACGGTCAGACGGTTACTAAAACACTAGCCCTAGGGTTGGCATTTCCGGAGTATCCGGGATTCCGTTTTACGATCCATCGAATCCTACACGATCCTTAGGATGTCCAGATTAACCTATAATAAACTCAAGACCATCCAACGGTCCAAACCTATCGAACCAAGATAACGCGCAATAGGCGATATCCGTTCGAGACTCAAACGGTACTCAAATAGAAATCCGAGCACGCCTACGAACTCGTGAGGACCAGAAGACCATTTTAGAACCTAAAGCCGGTCCATTTTCCTAGCCCACGCGCCAGCAGCGCGTGGGTGCCTTGAGTAATTTTCGGCGGCCTGAAAAATCCAAACCGCCGGGCAAGCTTCCTATCCTAGGTGTAAAACCCCATTTTGAGTCACTTTTGTTCTTGGACATACCTGAAAAATGGCCAGAAGTGTCCGGAATCGTGATCCAACAACCGGCCGAACCCTAACTCAAAAATCAAACCTCCCAGGCTAGAAATTGATGCAATCCTACCCAACCATCAGCTAGAGCTCGAGGAATAGATGAATTTCCATACCTGGATCGCCAAAAATGGCCGTCGGACGACGGAGATCAAAGCCGGCGAAGTTTCGAGCGAAACCGGGCGTTTATCTTTGTTTTTCTGGCGAAATCACAGCGGCTGGTGGCGGGGCCTGGCTGGGGTAGGAAGATGATGGCGGCCCGGTCATTTTGGTACCGGCCCCGTCAACTTTGGTGGCCGGATGAGCGAACGGCCGGCCAAAACGTGGCCGGTTGTTGTGGTCGTCGCGAGAGAGAGGAGAGAGAGAGGGACTGCGTGGAGGAGAGAGAGAGAGAAGTGAGGGCATTTCTGACTTTTATCAAAAATCCCTTTTCAAAATAATTACAATTGTGCCACTGAGTTTCATTTGATCGTACCTCTCTCGTTACAACCCCGATTCGAGCACACTATGTGTCTACGGACTCATCTCGCCGTGCTCTACGCAACGGTACAATCAAAATTCCAAATTTCCTTCGTGATCAAAAAGTCAACTTTAAACCTAATGAAATATTCTAGGGGCAAAATGGTCCTTTTATCTGAATAAATTAATATTCACCCATTTATTTAGGACCGGGTCGTTACAGGTTACACAATTTCTCTATGTTGTGGCGGCTGTTTGATACTTCTACTTTAAATTTGTGGAATCGCTTGGGGTACTCTGTCTGTGCCACTTTTCCAGCAACAAATCAGGCGTGATTTCGAGAAACGAAAAGCTCCGGTGCACAATACATCGGCCAAAATCACAAACACAAGAGAGACGCCTCAATTCTATTCAGATTGTGAGATGGAACGACGCGATACCACACTACTGGTAGCACTTATCTCAACTGTAACGTTCGTGGCAGGTTTCACCATTCCTGGAGGACTTAAAAGTGACGGGAAAGCGGTTTTAGACGGAAGTGCATATTTTAAAGTGTTTATGTGTTCCAACATTGTCTCCTTCTTTCTATCAGCCTTTGTGATTTACAATGAATTACTAGAGGAAAGTTTCTTAGCAATCCAAACGGTTGCACTTGTCCTTTGGTGTTCTGTTGGAGGACTTGTCTTTGCACTTTTTTTCAGGCTTCATGGCAGTGCAGGATAATAAAGGCAAGGGGAGTCCTACTGAGAGTATGCTCTGGTTGTTATTTTCTATGTTGTTTTATGCTTTTATGTTTTGGTCATGGAACTATAATCCACATTTAGCAAGAATGAAGAGGGAAGGAAAGATCTGCCTGCAAGACCGTAAAATTTAACGGAGCTTATGTAAACCCGAAAAAAGAAAAGCCTTTCTAAAACACAATCTAATATATAGAGCAGCAGTGAAAAAGCTGAGAGCTTTTTTTTCCCCTCTGTTTTCCTCCTCCATTTTCATTTTGCTATTTTTGCTTGTGTTTGTGAGTGTGAGCAGCTGGTGTTGAGAGTGCAAAGCTTAGTCTGTGTATGGAAATTTCATATGTACCACGTTTTGCAAGATAAATTTAGAAGAGATTACTTTCACCTCCAAACTCACAGTTGATCTAGTCACTGCTAAGTTGATGCAGTTTGGTCTTCTTTTATAAGTCTAGGTTGTTATCAACAATTTTCACTACGAATTACAAGAAAAAAAGAAGGAACCTTTCCTCAAGCCAACATATAAGTCGTCAACAATTTTCACTATGAATGATAGTCTTCATTTAACTCAATTACCCTTAGATCCTGTCCTTAACTATCTTAGCTATCTTTAACTTCTGATCCAATTATGCAAGTGATATAGAAATCTAAAGACCTAGTTACCAAACAATAAATAAATTAGAGTGTTGCCCTTGTTCTCTTTATTACATGAGGTTTTGAAGGTATGATCTCTCACCACTTAAAAGATGAGGTACATATGCTAGTTATGGGCGCTTTTGATCAGCTTTTTTCTTCTTTGATTAGCGGAATCTTGGCTTTATTAATTTCATTTTATTATCTATTTCTAGTACCACCAGGAGCATAGGAAACGTCCTACTTGATATGCTAGCATTGGAACTTCCTCGATCCCACGGTACAGGGCGACTGTTCATGCTACAATGGTCTTTTAAAATAAGCCAAATGACACATCATGAATATAGCGATTGGTTGTTTACAATGCTCTATATTTTACTGAGAATGTTAACTTAGTTGGTTAATTTAAAAAGTCAACCTTTCCCGCCTTGATCTTTTCAGACAGCTGTTATTATGCCGGTAAACTCTAGTGTGCGATCGAACATACCATGAACGATGTAATTTTTTTAATTTAAGAAGTCAACCATTTACTTAGTTGTTTGTTTATGAAATTCCACATATATATGTTCAACAGAGAGAGATAGAGAAAGAGAGAGAGTTTAAAGCCATGGATCCTTCCGTCCATGAGGCAGCAAAATTGGGTGATGTTGATTTCTTCAGAAGAATTAGAAACTGATCCTGCATGTTGCTGTTCGATGCGGTCACTGTAGAGTGGTGATGCCGCTAATTGAAGCTGATCCTACATTGTGTTGTTTGACTAATAGTGCCAATGAGTCGCCTTTGTTCCTAGCTACATCTAAGGGCTTTCAAAGAATTGCTCGTTACATTTTATGCGAGTCTTCAATATGTCCTTCTTTTGAGAGGATTAACGGTGTCACAGCTTTGCATGCGGCAGTAACTCGTAGGACAAAAAGCACCAAAGGTAACTTCATGCACGACTTCCCCTAATATGCCTATTTTTCATATATATATATATATATATTTAAGATTGATTGATTATTACCATCCGTTTGGTAACCCTTTGGCTTTTATTTTTTTCGTTTTTTTTAGTTAAAGATAATTATATAGGAGAAATGAGAGAGAAAGAAGAGATGACAAGGGGAAATGGAGAAGTAAAGGATAACGTATGAAACCAAAACTTGAAAAAAAAACACTAGTTAGAAATTTGCTTTTGATTAGTTTATATGGTTTTCAGTTTTGATTTTGTATAACATTTCATTACATTTTCTCCCTCCTCCATCCCTTCTCCTCCTTCTTCCTCTCTCTCTCTCTCTCTCTCTCTCTCTCTCTCTCTCTCTCCTTTTCCTATATGTTTCCTCTATCTTCAAATGAAAAGACAAAAGCTAAAAGTTGAAATCGAAATAGTTATTAAATGGACCCTACAAACACAATTTCATTTGGTGCTCAAATTGTTATTGATGATGGATTCTCGACAGGTGGCACTATTGCTAGCCCCGTTTTCTATTCCCACTCACCTTATTTTCTCACACCCTACTTAATTGATAGATTAGGGGTAATTTGGAAATAATGGTGGATGAGAAGAGAGGATTAAAACTTAAAGGGGGTGAGAATATATAGGTTGGTGAAAAAAATATCTCTTTTTTAGTCAATGTGAAAAAATAACATAAATATGTGAAAATAGCAGCACTCTTTTAAGAAACAATAGTATACTTTTTTCACCCATCGTTATTCCCATATTCCCCTCATCATCTTCGCTTCTCGTAACCCTAGAACCTAATTCCAATTCTAATTTCTTTTCTTTAAACTGCCCCCCTGGGATGCCCAAGTTCAGACCCTCCTTGATCAGCTACAACTTACATGCTACCATAAAGCTATTTGATTTTTAGCAATATTTAGTAATTTAATAACATTAAACGTATGAGTTTATTTCAGATTTAACCATATTGCAGAGTGCAAAGGAAGGGATAAAACTGTAATCAAATTTTTTTTTAAATATGACTCTTCTCAATTCCTCACTAATTTTTGTATATCAACATGCTAGATATTGTGAACACAATGTTATCCAAAAATCCCAAGATGATCAAAGAAGTGGACGCACTTGGGTGGACACCCTTACACTACGCAGTGTTTAAGGGAAACCTTGAAGCAACTCGATTGTTAATGCAATGTGATAGCTCTGCTGCTTACCTCTTGCACAGATCTGGATTATTGTCAGCTCTCCACGTTGCCGCCTATGTAGGACGTGTTATGTTTTCCTATTTAGATCGGTGCACTAGATACTAAGTCATATCAGGTTTAATAAGAGTTTAAATTAAGTTGTACCTTGAGGCCCAAAACCTGGTGAAATAAGGAAGGGTTTTGAGGTCTATTAAGGGGTCCTATTTTATTTCCATTTATGCATGATACAATTAAGTGGGCTTGGAAGATAAGTCAAGTAAGCCCTTGGTGATGAGTAGAGATGACTTGACCTAGCCCTATATAAGCTAAAGGCCCTGCTCTCATCAGACATGTTCTCTAAACCTATTCTCATCATAAAGAGAGAGCTGAAATAGATTATGAGAGAGAGCAGAAGTTTTGAGCCGTTCTTGTTCTTGCTAGGATTGCTGCTGCAACGGATTGGATGAATTCAGAAGCTGTGTACTCAAGGAAGATGGCTCCATGTATGTCTTCATGTCTTTACACGTATTACAGATTGTGTGTAAGATCAAGAACAAGCATATAAAGAATCTAACAGGACGTGCCATAGTTTTGGAAGTGATGATTCGATATCGGCCCGATGCATGTGATTTGCTGAATGCCAAGGGCCAAACGATTCTGCATGCTGCCGTTTTAGGTGGACAAATAAATGTTGTTGAGTTCATATTGCAGACGAATAAGCTTGATGGGCTTATAAATGAAGCAGATAAAGATGGCAACACTCCTTTGCATCTCGCTGCAGCTTACCCTAATTTGGAAATTGTTGAACTCTTGGCATCCGATCGTAGAGTTGATAAGCCTGCCATCAATAAAAATTTCTCGAAGGCTGCTGATATTTTTCTTGGCGATAATTTTGAACGGATATGTCTGCTACAAATATATGGTCTTCCTAGCATATTATTGCATTATATTTTTGTTGACCAAGACCATGATTCTCCGTATATATCTTTATTTAGGATGCCTTCAATAGTCCACTTTTGTTCAACCTGGGTTTTTCCAGCAACAAATCGGACCGATTCTTGACAAAACAAACTGGACTGATTCTAATCGATTCCAATTCTGATTTGACATCTCTAAAAACTGAATCGGGCCAAATCAAACCGAAATCAAATAAAATATAAAATGTATGAATATATTTTGGTGGCCCAACAACTAAAGCCCACCAACCAACACCTAACCCTAAAGGCTAAAGCCACTTTTTCTTTCCTTTCTCTCTCCCTTATATTTACTTTTTCTTCCTTTGTGTGCCGCTTCTCTTTCTCTTTTTTTCTCTTTTTTCTTCTTCTTTCTCTCTTTTTCTTTCTTTTTTCACTTTCTTCTTCCTCTCTTTCTCTTTCTCTTTCTCTTTCTTCTTCCTCTTTATGATTCCGATTTTCTCTTTTGGACCCTCACCCTTTTCCTTAGGACATGTGTCCCTTTCCTTACATTTAAAACAATGTAATTAATGCATCAAACAAGCTATCATTTGTTTTCCAAATTTACCCTTACTAAATATATTGATTTTAATTTTTCCAAATTTTTTTACAAACTTTTTACAACCTTGTTAAAAATTAATTAAGAAAAAAACGTTTTTTAAAGACTCTGAAGGCAACAAGACATTCAAGTAAGACTAAAAATTAAATAAGAAAAAGCATTAGTTTTATTTTTGGTTTTCTGAAAGACTCCAAAGGGAGTAAGGAGAGAAATTCGTTTAAATTGAAAATTTGGTATGCCAGAATTTTAGGATTTTTTTTTCTTCAAATAATCAGACTCCAAAGGCAGTATGAGATATAAAAAAAATAAATAAAACTATGAACTTCCTTTGGAATATGATTATTTGGGGTTTTCTTAAAATATTTTTAGTTGTTACTGAAAATGCTCTTTAACTTAGTAGTATATATATAAAAAAAAAGCAATTAAAGAACTTCCTTTTGAAGGAAGTCTTTTTTCTGTATAAAATTGTGATCTTTCTATTGAGTGTGTTTTTTTAGGTCATTCTTTTGTGTTTAAAAAAATAGAAGTTTTATCTCTTAAAAAAAAAATATATTTTCTTTTTTTTAAACTGACATTTTTTATTATTTAATTTTTTACATGTGGTAAGAGAGTTGTAAAGTATTTTTGAATAAATTGAAGGACAAAACATTTAAGAAGGATAAACTTGGAAAACAAATGTTAGCTTGTTTGATGCATTAGTTACATTGTTTTATGTGTATGGAAAGTGACACATGTCATGAGGAAAAGAAATAAGATCCAAAAGAGAATATTAGAGAGAAGGTTGCTAGCATTTTCCAAATACATAACAACAAGTGATTAAAGTTGAGGACTACATCCCTGTGAGTCTCGATAAACTCTGCAGGGCCAATGTGCTGAATCACATGGTGATGAACTTGCTCTCATGAGGGTCTTTATTTATTGAAATGAATATATTGAAGTATCTTTATCCCTAATTAGAAAAAATATATGTTTAAATAAATATATTGAGTGTTTCTAAGTGTTTTAAACTATTGTCAGGTAAGTATTTGTAGGTAATTGATTAATAATAAAAATAAACCAGTACTGTATTTTTTTTTGGGAGAAATATCGGATACTTTTGTTTAAGGTAGTTGACTCTTGATGAGTTTCAACATAATTATAATTAAATACAATTTCATTATTGTACCAGACTGTCTAAGTAAAAAAGTATATTTACCCATTATTACCAACGCAGTCTAACACAGTGAAAAAAGGCATTGACTTGCAAACAAGAGGCCTCAGGTTCGAATCCCCATAGCATCATTTGCGTGTGTATGTGTGAGAAATCCCCCTCCCCTCTAGTTTAGACTATCGCTTATACTAAAAAGTAAGTATATAAAGATTGTAGATATTATTAGCTTTTACTTTGGTAAAGGTAGGTGTGTGCAAAGAGTGTACAACAACACAACTCCTTTATATATATCAAGAGAGAAAAACCTCTCCACTAAGTTTTCATCAATGGGATTTGGTGGTGTAGTTCACATTTAGTAGAAATAAAATATATTATATATTAGAATACTGTTTTCTTGACAGGTAATTAGCACCACTGGCGGACTTGTGCAGGCACAAGGAGGTGCACCTGCACCTCCGGTCACCGGAAATCTCCATTAAAGCTGCTGGAGTTGCACCTCTGCTCTGGCTGCTACTGCACTCCAAGTGTTTGAAAAAAAGCTTAAGCAAACTTGCTGGGTTCCTTTCTTTTGTTGCGTGCGCATCACAGCTGCTGTCCTTTTGTTTTTTAAGTTCTGAGCAAAACAACGTCATGTTGTACAAGGCCCAAAAAAAAAGAAGAGGAATAAACATGTGAGTGCGACTGCAATTCCTACATGCTATTTGGGTCATTGGATGAAAAACAAATTGGGCCTTAAATAAGGATTGTCCTTGCATAAATTTGTAGGGCTGCAATATTAATTATCTATCAAATCTGAAATGTTAATATCGATCGTATGTATAAAATTGCATTATTTAAAAAAACAAGAAAAGAAAAGAAACCAAGTTTGTATAAAATGTTGTCATTGTTTTCATGATATGAAAGCTCGCGGTGAACAATTGTAAGTTAATTGTAATGTTATATATTTTTTTTATGAATTACAAATGACATTAGTATTGTTTAAATTCTAAGGTTTTTTATTTATGGGAAATTCTAAGGTATTTGGTTGTCTATCTTTTTGGTGTTTTTTTGTTGTTGAGCTTTTAGCGTATTAAAAATTGCCCCTTCCCTGAAAAATTCTTGGGTCCGCCAGTGATTAGCACTAAGTTTGGTCATAATTATTTATGCTATCACTTGTACTAAAAAGTAAGTATATAAAGATTGTAGATATCAGCTTTTACTTTGGTAAAGGTAGGTGTGTGCAAAGAGTGTACAACAACACAACTCCTTTATATATATCAAGAGAGAAAAAACTCCCAACTAAGTTTTCATCAAAGGGATTTGGTGTAGTTCACATTTATTAGAAATAAAATATATTATATATTAGAATACTGTTTTCTTGACAGGTAATTAGCACTAAGCCTGGTCAGAATTATATATTGGTAAGTTGTTGATTTCATTTTAATTTGGTTTGGCTTTTTAATTTTCTTATATATACCTCACAATTTCAATTTCAACCCAAAATTTCCCCCAATTTGCTAACTCTAATAGCACAATATACCATAACTCGTTGAGTTAGAGGAAGAAGACTGAAGGTGATTCCTAAAAGAATAAAAAATAAAACTACATTTAACGAAAGATAACGGAATGTCTATAAATTGGAAACACAGTGACCAATTTGTAACGAATAGTAAAGACCTGGTCACGATGGGTTACTAACTGTAATAAGATTTAAACAATTCTCTTCTTTTTGTTTTTAATGAATCTCCATGACGTATCCTTATAATGTTTCGACATTTGGCCACGAGGAAGTTTTGAGTCGATAGCTCAGAAAGTTCGTTTGCAAAATGTCACATCTCGTATAGTTGAACTGGATTACTTGTAATTTTAATTTTACAATAATAAAGTATTTGCCTGCTTGGGCATTTGGCAATAAATTAATCTGTCAGATTTGTTGGTCCCTTCCTATAAGTGAACAAGGCTTCCATGAATAATAAATCATCCAGGGAATTGGTGATTTATTTCGAAGACTTCGGGAAATGAGAGAGAGAGAGAGAGAGAGAGAGAGAGAGAGAGAGAGAAGGATACCATGGAATACATGGATCGTTTTCTGCATGACGCAGCAACAAAGGGTGATCTTAGTTTTTTGGAAAAAATTAGAAATGGTGATGTATCAATTGATCTTGCAAGTCAGAAAACGCCTAAAGACAACAATGTTCTTCACATTGCGGCTGAATTCAAGCAAATGAATTTCTTTAAAGAAGTCAAGTTTCATCATCCTCAATCTCCACGGTTTTGGGACACCAACAAGAACAACGAAACTCCTCTCCATGTTGCTGCAAGAGTAGGATGTGATGAAATAGTGGAGTTCATCATTGCTAACATGAAACCTCTTGAAGAAGTTGATTTGGAAGACGGACCAATTAATGAGGAGGAAATCACACCAGCTGCTGAGCAAACCACGCCATCTGATGAGGAAATCTTACAATCTTATGAGGAAAGCAGATCATCCGCTGAGGAAAACAGACCAGTTGATGAGGAAATCAGACCAAACAGACGAGTTGATGAGGAAATCAGACCAGTTGATGAGGAAATAAGGCCAAACAGACCAGTTGATGAGGAAATCAGACCAAACAGACCAGTTGCTGAGGAAATCAGACCAGTTGATGAGGAAATAAGGCCAAACAGACCAGTTGATGAGGAAATCAGACCAGATGGTGTTAAACCTTTTAAAAAACTACTCCGAATGAAAAATTCGGAAAAGGATACAGCATTGCATGTTGCTGTTCGATATCGTCGCGATGGGGTGGTGGCTCAGTTAATGAAAGCCGATCCTGAATTATGTTGTTTTACTAATAGCGCCAACGAGTCACCTTTATTCCTAGCTGTTAGAACGGGCTCTCCAAGCATTGCTCTTTATATTCTAAACGAGTCTCCCTCTGATAGATCTCCTTCTTTTCACGGGACAAATGGTGTGACAGCTTTGCATGCAGCTGTCACTCGCAGACGCCTTACCCACCAAGGTAACTTCGAGACACATCAATTAAGTTAATATGCCTTGCTATCATGTACATATTATTTGAGGGACACTTTATATGGCGGATTTTATATTGTACTACTTTGCATCAATATGTTTACTTAATGCTAGCCGTTTTAGTGGCCTTTTAGGACACCGTGTTTGCCTATTTATTTAATCACAATCAAATATTTTAGTGGTTTATAATTTGTTTAACTTATTTTAAAGATGACCTATAAATGAAGATTTAAAAAATAAATTGTTTGAATCATTAAAAATTAAAATACAAGGTATGAACTGTCTATTTTGTAAGTCTTAGCTAAAGAATCATCCTTGCAAAATAATTAAAGGGCTTCTTAGATCTAGGTCCAAAACGATTAGCTGTCATTGGGTTTAGTCCTCGTGTTTTTGGTTTTAGATGTAGGTCCTTTGACATTTATTACTTTTTTCGTTGTGTTGATTTTACCCTTTGAGGTAAATAAGGAAAATATATTGAAAATCTAAATTTAATGCATTATTTTATCGTATGAATTCCAGAATTTAAATTTGAATTTTTTACTTGATAATATTCCTAATAAATGGATAAAATACAATTTAATCAATGAAAAGTAAAGACCCACATATTATACCAATTGAACAGACAAGCACTCACATTAAATTATGTACCTAGTGTTATCATTAGGAACGAAAAATACTTAGTGATAAATCATGTTATCTATAAGTTAGGAACATAAATTAGAAAACTACCTATAAGTCAGACACAAAAATAGACAAAATAAAATTGTATGTTACCTATAAAAGAAAAAGGTACATAAAATACTATTACACATTGTCGAAAATATGAAAAAACATATATATATATATATATATATATATATACCTATGCAATAGGCTATATGACATAAATGATTATTACCCAATTCAAGTCATAAGAGGCAACATTGGAACAAAAAATGATTTTAAAAATAAAATAATAAAGAGATTACATCAAAAAATATTAAAAAAGGAATGTATTTCTATGTGGCACAAAAGTCAAAGGACTTGAATCAAAGTCACCAAATCCGAGGATTAAACCCAACTCCTCAATAGAAATTTGAATCTATATCAACTTTTCTTGTTAGGGGTCTTGGTTCAATTTGAATCTATATCAACTTTTCTAGTTGAATCTAATAATTAAACAAGTTGAAAATCATTAAGATATATCTAGTTGTGACGAAAATAGTTACACAATTGTGTGCCTAATATAGTTGGTTTGAACACCAAGCTTTACTTGTTAGGGGTCTTGGTTCAATTCCCGCACGTGCGATTTAGTGTGTGTGTGTGTGTTTTTTTTAAAATACTTATTTTTTTTTAAACAAAAATAATAAAAATAAAAATAAAAATAAATTCTCCATTAGTGGCACGAAGGAGCATTGAAACCATGACCAATTACCACACAATACCGCTAGCCTATGCATGTCATCATGAAAAATAATTGTGTTAATTACTTTTATTGGTTTATGGTGTCAATTTACATGCTAGGCATCGTGGCAACTATGGTTTCCAAAAATCATGAAATAATCAAACAAGCAGACGACATTGGGTGGACTCCCTTACACTATGCAGCATTGAGAGGTAACCTTAAAGCAACTCAAGTGCTGATTGGAAAGGAGAACTCTGCTTGTTACATCTTGGACAAACTTGGGTTGTCAGCTCTCCACATCGCCGCATATGCAGGGCACACCAAAATATTGGAAGAGTTGATTGGAAGTGAGCCTGCTACTTGTGATTTGGTCAATCACAAAGGTCAAACAGCTCTGCATGCTGCAGTCGTAGGTAAACAAATAAACGTTATAAAGTACGTTCTGAAGACGCCTAAGCTTGGGAGACTTATAAATCAAGCAGATAACGATGGGAACACTCCTTTGCATCTTGCTGCCATTTGCCGAAATCATGGAATGGTAAAAATCTTGTCAACAGACACTAGGTTGGACAAAACGGCTACCAATAAAAAATTCTTAACGGTTGCCGACATTTTGCGCGACGACAAGATGGAACAAAAGGTATCAATAAGCTGAGCAATCTATCTTTTGAATTTTCCTTACTCAGTTAATTAGAGTTAATTCATTATCATACGATGACTAAGACTACGAGTGTATGTTCTTTCTCTATGTTTTAGGAGTGGACCAATAGTGCCGAGGTTAGGAAGTACCCGATTTGGTCCTTGACCGCTGGGGTGCCATATTTTCAACGACAAATCACTCATGAGTTTACGAAAGTACAATCTCCGGAGAAGAAAGATAAGGCTGATACGCCAGCCGTTACACATGGGGCCTTGAAAAGACGTGATACCAAACTATTGATAGCAACGCTTATTGCAACAGTCACATTTGCAGCGTCTATCAATGTTCCTGGAGGGTTCAAAACCGACGGAAGGCCGGCTTTAGAAGACAATGCATATTTCCAAGTGTGTGGCGTTTTTAACATGTATGCCTTCATTTTCTCAGTTCTTGCGATACTTAACGAATGCACTCCGCTACGGGTCCTATCTACCCATTTACCCACACCTGCAAGTCTCATTCAGTTTTCAATTGGTGGGATGGTAATAGCATTTTTTGCGGCCATACTGACATCGTTGAAGCCAAAACGCCACAATGAAAGTCTGTTTAAATATGTGTTTGGCACACCCCTTGATTTCGTGCTCGGTTTAATATTTGCCATATTTGTTTACGCAATAGTTTTAATCCCCATTTATAGGTCTCTACTGCAAATAATGCGGGGGATAAGGATCCGTGAGCTCCGGAACTACGTTATTTGACCGAGCTATTAAGTCACCCGTGTTGTTTTCTTTTTGGATCCTGTGTGTGTGATATTGTGGTGTTGTGAGAATAATCATTTTCAAATATGTTGTGATAATAATGAGTTGTGAAATACAACAGCTGAACATTTGGTAAATTATAAATTTGTTTAGTAATATGAATACGAAATTTCTGAGTATTTATCAAATTTTAGCGTTGAGTTGCACTTGCATTTATTGTATGACAGCTTCTTCCAATGGAGAAACTATGGAATGATACGGTATCACCGCGTTAGTTAGTAATACTTCTATTTAAAATAAAATTAAGAAAAAAAAAAAGGGAGAAAACAACCTTTCGGTGGCTGCCCCAAGACCCATTACAGATTGCCATAAGATGCCAAAAAGGTTGTAATGGGAGTTGGGTGTATCACAAACATCCTGCAAATTGACCCGCATGAAATTGATATAGAAAATGATGATTGTGGGTACATAGCATGTTGGTTCTCGGTTGTGGATCTAATAAGCCCCAACAAATATTAAGATTAGATAATTATTTAATTGATTAACAATGATGATGAAGTTTCCTGGTTGCAACAATTGATTGGGCTATGAGGTTTGACTTACTTGTGACTAATGATTGTTGATGGTAGGCAGAGGAAGAAGAAGGCCGAGGGATGGCGTTGGGGGTGGCGTTCGGGTATGCGTTGGGTTGGGTTGTTGGGATATTTTCTTTTCTTTTTTCCTTAAGGTTTTTATTTTTCTAATTTTATTTCAGTGAATGTCTTTTGATGAACAAATTTGGTGACTGACTAGCATTATTCTCTGACCGTGTTTCATGGTTTTACTTCTATGTTTTAGGATCTCATTCGTATTCAGCTTGTAAAGTCACCTGGGGAAGTCCATTGGCGTGCCATTATTCCAACAACAAATTTCCCATGATTTCATTTTCATGAATTCGGAATCTCCAAAGCACAAAGATACACCAACCACATCAGCCATTATAGGAAAAAACATAGAAAAGTTGGAAGCTACTTCTTCAGAGGAGGCCTCAAAAGTACTCGATACCAATCTAGTAGTAGCAATGCTTATTGCAACCGTCACATTTGCCGCAGCTTTCACCACGCCGGGAGGACTTAAAAGCGACGGCACGGCGGTGTTGTACGGAGAGGCATCATTCCAAGTGTTCTTGCTATTTGATGCCTTCTCCTTCTTCTTGTCAATCCTCGTGGTGTTTCATAATTTCATGGTGGCAACTGTGTCAGGTGTTCTTGTAGCTGCACCTTCAATTCTCATTCAGTATTCAATTGGAGGAATGCTCGTAGCTTTTGCTTCTGGCATGCTTCTAGTGCTGCCCAAACACATTCCGGTGGGCATTTTGGTGTGCTTAATTTGTGGGTATATATGCTTGTCTATAGTCTTTAAGCTTAGAATTGTGCCTGTACGACTAGCCGCAAATGGTTCATGACCCGCGCAATTTGATGGGGCTTACTTTTGATAGGCCTTTTTGTTTAGGGCCTTGGATCCATCTGGCTTTGGTTCCGTGCAGTTTTCAAAAGTGCCGCTCACAAGAAGATCATATCTTTTTTTAGCGTTATCTTTAATCGAATTGGCTCAAAAGTAGCAGTGTGTATATATTGATTAAAAAAAGTAGTGGAATTTGATTTCAGAAATAGCGTTACCATTCTTTGTGGTAGTTCTTAGATAAATAATACACACATATTCACGCATATGCCAATTGGTTTTCTTTTTTATTTTTTATTTTATTTTTAAAATTAAGAAAAGATAACATGGGTAATTGTGTTGTATAAAAGTAGGACCTATTATCTGATTTGTTTTTAATTTTAATTTGTTTTTAAATATGAAAAAAAATGTGAATTTACCATATTATCCTTATTTAATTAATAATTTTAATTCTTAATATTTGAATTAACCAAGAGTATTTTATGGTATTTTGAACGTTTCACAATTCTCTACCTTTTGCTATATATAAATAATGATCTTGGACAAAAAAAAGAATAGTTCGGTCAAAACCACTGGGAATTTAGATTATCATTATTTAATAAGATGAGTTTTTTATTTAATTGTTATACATTTCGATAGAAGTACCGATGTTCTATTCAAAGAAAAACAAGTGGTTCTTCAAAACCAAGTCCAAGAATATTCCAAAGAAAGTCAAGGTTCTTCAAGTGGCTCTTCAAAACCAAGTCCACGAATATGAAGAGGAACTTAGCAAGTGTTAAATTTTGGTAATTATTTGATTAGGTGCCAATTAAATTTATAAATTTATTCCAAAATCAAAAAATTCCGAAAAGAATTGGATTGGAATTGGAATGTAACTAAAGGTTCTAAAAATTCGATTAACTCTAATGTATTTTGAGATTAGACTACATGACTAACTCCGTGTTCAACTAAATATGAATTAATGACCAAATAAACATAGATGAGGTTTTTTTTTTCTTTCATAAATATTATAACAATATCTAAGTACTAGCATATTAATAGTTTTCCGGGCTTTGGGTATGTGTTTTCAATTTTGAGCCAATTTTAACATTTCAAATAGTTGGGCCTGTTTAAAATTTTGCACTTTCCAATCGAAACATGTAAGTTCCGAAATTTTTTTCCATATCGAAATTGATGTAATTCCAAAAATTTCCAAATTGGAATTGGAAGATAATCTTCATTCCGAAACTTTTCGAATTGGAATTGGAATCTTCTAATTTTGATATGATGCATCCAAAAACCAAACCGAGTCTGTATACTACGTTGCTGGTTTTGGTGTAATTAACTTAATTACAAAAATCTATTTGTTGGCAATGGGTTCCCACCACAGTGGTGGTGGATTCCCCCTCCCCCCCATTGCACCCAGGATTGAACCCCAGTGAAGTTTCTTTCCTCCAATGTAACAAAAAAAAATCTATTTGTTTATTGTTCCATGCGGTTTAAGTCTTTAATGACAAGTATACTAATCAAGAATGGGTGTTTAAATTATTCTAATTCTTACTTCTCCTGTGTTTATTAACGCATAATTGAAGTGAGTTCATATTCTCACTTTCCTTGCATTAAAATCCATAATCAAATACACTCAAAATAAAAAATTATGTGAGTTCCACGTTAAAACCTGTAATCAATTACACTCAAAATCATGCATGGATCCGTTAGGGAAAGTATGGGATTAACTAGGAGAGTAGTTGATCCAATTCCAATTCCTTGATCCACAATGGACTCCTTAAACCACCTCCTTAGATAAACTTTAGGCCATGTTTGGTTCATAGAATGAATTTGAGGGTAAATCACTTCCCATGCCATTTCCCAAGGGATGGGAAATGTAGATGCATTTTTCATGGTTGGTAATGCTGGGAAAGTAACCAAAAAATACCACTTTATTTCCTTTCACATGTTTGGTTTGTATAGGAATGTAAAACAAAGTTTATTTAATTTTCCAATTATACCCATATGAAATCAAATTAAAAAAAAAGAATGCATTTAATGCTATATTGTAAAGAATGCATTTAATGTTATATTGTAATTCTAAATTGTTAATAAGGATAATATGGTCATGAAAAATATGCATTTAATGTTGACTCATTTTTCCAAACTTTCCCACGATGAGGAAAACAAAACTCAAGGGAGGAGAATGGCTTGACTTTCCCCCTACTTTCATATGTGCAAGGCAACGATTTCTCATGTATGGACTTACCAAACATGGGAAAACAATTGATTTTCCATCCCCAGACCTCCTTTTCCATGAAACAAAAGGGGCCTAAGGGAGGAAATGATAAAACTCACCTCTAACTATGCTCCCTATATATCCAGATCCTAAAATAAGGAGATCTCTAGGAGCTCCTAAATATGAGGAGAGAGAATGGACTCCTAGTTGATCCAATTCCAATTCCTTAATCCACAATGGACTTTCTAAACTACCTCATTAAATAAACTTTAGGGAAGAAGTGATAAAACTCACCTCCAACCATGTTCCCTATATATCTAGCTCCTAAATAAGTGGAGAGAGAATGAACTCCTAGTAGAAATATTATAGAGTAGTACTATACTACCATCTCAATTTGTTATACTTCCATTCAAAATATGTGATGTTCATTTTTAAAAAACAATTTAAGTTTTTTTTACAGCTGGACTTAATATCCAATTATTATATTTTGAATATAAAACTAAGTTAAAAAAAAGTCTCACACGGAAGAGCCACCACCCACCCCCACCCTTCGTCCTCATGGTGCCGCCCTAGGCACTGCCCACTCCCTCCAGCCTCTCTCTCTCTCTCTGTCTCTAGTCCTTCTCGCTCAATTCAACTACTTAATCATAACTCAATTCTCTTCTCACCATTTCAGTGCAGCCATCTCGCGCTCGAGCAGGCCATTCGGAGCCGATTAAGATCGGGCCCATCCAGCTTCGAGATCACGGTAGGCTTGGGGCTCTCGGGAGAACAAAAAAATAAAAATAAAAAATCATCCCAAGAAGCTAGTTGCCAATTTAAAGACTTGGTCATCTTTGAATCTCCGTACAACATGTCACGAAACCTGCATGCATGTGTAGTTGACTAAATATAAAAAAGGTAAATGACACCAACTTGTTATTTTTTGCAAGTGTGATATTTTTTTTATTCACAGGCAATTGGCAATAATATATTGTCAGATTTATTAAAATGGTTGACACAATGGTGGCACTGCCTACATCTACACCCCGTTAAAATGTTACAAATTAGAGTATTGTACATGTTGAGCAATTGGCACTGAATGTGTCATCATCGCTTCCTATATAAGTAGACATGGAGGATCAACACTAAGTCATTCACAGAGCATTAGAGAAAGTTGAGTGCAGAAAAAAAGGTTGAAATGGATCCTTCACTGTATGAGGCGGCCAGATCGGGTGATGTTGGTCTATTGAAAATAGTTAAGAAGAAGGCTACTGGATTTTTTCTTCAGAAAACGCCTAAAGGCAACAATGTCCTCCACATTGCTGCTGAATTCAAGCAAATAGCTTTCTTCATAAGTACCCCACTTGATGATCAACAATGTCGTCCACTGTTTTGGGCCGCTAACAACAAGGGCAACACTCCCCTGCATGTTGCGGCCAGAGTTGGCTCCGATGAGATCGTAGAGTTCCTTATTGAACATGCAAAGAAGCCGCCGCCCACTGGAGGAGCCGATTTGGAAAGCGGCGGCGAAGCTCATAAAGAGTTACTCGAAAGGACTAATATGGAAAAGGAGACAGCATTGCATGTTGCTCTCCGGTATGGCAACCAAAGAGTGGCCCACTTACTAATCGCAGCCAATCCTGAATTGACTTGTTTAACTAACATGGTGAACGAGTCGCCGTTGTTCTTGGCTACGTCTGAGGACTATATGCAGACTGCCAATATGATTTTAAAGCACTGTCCCGAGTCTTCTTTCCAAGGTGTCAATGGTGTCACAGCTTTGCATGCCGTGGTAACTCACAAAAGTGAATTAGCCATAAGTAAGACTAGTGACCTTATCTATATGCTTTATTTTGATATAGTATCAACTGTTGGTTGATTATGTATTTTTTAAAATATTTTCGTTTTTCGTATACTTGTCTAAGACATGAAAAAATACATGTTTTCTAAAATCAAACATATAATCCACGTATGTGTATCTTCTTTATGATATTTTAATTGAAGTCCATATGTAAGCTATCTAACTATATTTTAATCTTTATTATGCATGCTAGAAACTTTGAAGCTTATGATCCGCAAAAATGGTGATGCAATTAAAGAAGCTGATGCAATTGGATGGACTCCCTTACACTACGCAGCATTAAAAGGGAACCTTGAAGCAACCAAACTACTGTTGGAGAAAGACGATGTCTCTGCTTCTTACATGTTGGACAAATCTGGAATGTCAGCTCTTCACGTGGCGGCCTTTGCAGGTCACAAAGAAGTAATGGAAGAGCTTATTAGGCGTCACCCTGATATTTGCGATTTGGTCAACCACAAAGGTCAAACGGCTCTGCATATTGCAGTTTTAGCTGGACAAGAAACTGTTGTCAAATATATATTGAAGGAGCCTAATCTTGTGGGAATAATACATGAAAAAGACCAAGATGGTAACACCGCTTTGCATCTAGCTGCTATTAACCAAGATTATAAAATCATGAAACTTTTGGCAGCAGACGGGAGACTGGATAACACTGCTTTCAATCGTCAACTCTTAAAGGCAGCCGACATTTTTCATAGCGGCAAACTTGAAGAACAGGTACCCCACAATTTATATTATATCTAATCCCTTTACTCAAGGTGGTATTTTCTATATCTACTTTTAGTTTAAGAGTTTAGTAAAGAAAAAGGAGTACTTAACTTTCTTATAGTAATTTACAATGTTTTCATTAAAGAATAATGTACTTTCTTTGTGTTGTAGGGCATATGTCATGTTACTACTAAGCTTTCAAAGCTCCTGGGAAAGTCCATTGGCGTGCAATCTTTTCAACAGGGTGTCAATTTCCATTTTTGGAGATCGGAAACTTGGGAAAGAGAGGCCTCAAACGACACGCCGCAGTCGCAGATGCTGACCCTGGCTGTTAACGTTACAGCCAAGAAAGAAAAGCCACAAGTTAACGCGGAGGAGCAGCCCCTGCAGAGACGCGACACCAGGCTGCTGATAGCGACACTAATCCTAGGCATCTCATTTGCGGCTGCTATCACGGTTCCAGGAGGCACAAGACCAGACGGAAGGCCAGTTTTACAAGGAAAACCAGCTTATTCAGTTTATTTAATCTGCAACTGGTTCTCCTTCATGGTGTCAGCTCTCACGATTTACAATGATATATTGGAGAGAAAAGTCGTTCGAATCAAAGTAGCAGCACAACTGATTCAGTGGTCCGTTTCCTCATTGATTATCGCATTCGTTGCGGCCGCGATGGCAACGGCGGCCAAAGACAACAACTGGATGAACTTTCGGTTTGGCCTCGTCTTGGCGACTGGTTCTACTACATGTTTTTTCTGCTTTTTTTTCTCTAGGTGTTATCCAAGAACCGGTAAAGAAACTAATATCTGCCTCCGGGATCGCGTAATATAACATATTATTTATATGCTAGCTCCACTTCAGTTCAGTAAACTGAGTTCTGTTAGTCTTGTACTGTATTTTTAATTCTGTATTATTCTATAAAATTAAAGCCTAGATTGAACAATCTTCCCTTCATGTTCTTGTGATGCTCAAACTGGTTCGAGTTAGGCTAGTTGACCGGGACAGTGAGTGAGTCCTCCACTTTATACCCTAGTTCAAGTTCCTCTACCTTAGGTTGATTTAGAGTACATTATCGTTGTTAAGAAAAGTGATTCCCTACCTTCCCTTACTATTTAGATTTAACAATGCTTCATCCCCCCAAATTTCTATGTGAACACGAAACCTCTCTGTACTCTGGGAAATTTGGAAAAATAATATTTTCCTCAACACATGAAAAGGCTTTTAGCCTATCTTTCAAATCGAAAGATGGGCTAAAAGTCTTTAACATGCCCATAACTTGGCTAGTTTTCAAAGTTTTCCCATACTTCGCGCTCTTTATAATATCTTTCATTTAGCGTTAAAATTATTGAGAAGTTTCTGAAGTGGCCTATTAACTAAACAGTAGTTGGATGACAAGTTGAGCAAGTTTCATAGAAGTCAGCGACGAGGAAGTTTTGTGTTGATCGCTCAGAAACTTCTTGTCTATTAATTTACTCAAGTTGACTGCAAGACAATTTGAATCAAGCGAAAGAGTTCAATATTAATTAAGTACTTCAACTGTAGCCATGTGGATTCTTTCCTGGCAAGGTGTCATTTTCAAAATGAGCCATTTTTAAAGGCAGATATTCCATTTTTTTTCAAAATGAGCCATTTGAAAACCTAAGAATTCACTTTGAGTTATCAGCATTACGAAGGTAGAGAAGCTTTTCACAATAAATTAAGAATAGAATTAGCTTTCCAATTCCAAATCTCCAACCCCCCAACTTGAATGCTATTCTTATTGTCTATGTAATCACGAAAAAGGGCAATGCTCCTTACCTAGTACTATTTTCAAGCAAAACCCAGAAAAAATTTCAGAAAATTTGCCCCAACTCAATACTCAACGGATTTAACCCTAAATCAAATTAGGGACATAACAATTGTTTTGATATACTGATTTGTTGGCTAGATCATAACTCTAAGGGCATGTTTACTTATCTGGAAAGGGAATGAGAGGTATAAGAGTCATTCCCATTCCTGACCACTCCTTTGTTTTACTTGCATGTTGGGAATGAAAAGTGATGTGGAGCCCACATGTAATCATGACTTTTACTCCTGGTATAGGGGAAATGGCATTCCGGATGGTGAAGGTGGTATTGGGTATGGATGAATCAAAATGGACATTTTTCTATCCAAATTGCCATCACATATTTTGTGAAAACACCAAAAAACAAAAAAAAAAAAATTTTCTTTGAACATAAATATATTTAACTTAATTCTATATATTTAGAAATACTAGGAAGTAATAATAAAACTTATAAAACACGGTTATTTTTACTTATATTGAATTGGTATTTAACTAATTTTCTATTATTCTTACTATATAAAAAGATGGTTTTTTTTTGGGTTAAAAAAAAGGCTTATTATTAGATTAGAGAACTTCAACAAAAAAAACAAAAAAAAACGATTAGAGAACATTTGTCCTTTGTTCTATGTATTTATTATTTTTGTTTAAAACAAAAAATTTTATCACTTGAAAAATTGTGTAAGTAGTTGAACAATTTAAATTTGTGTTTCCAAGGCAATTTGGTAATTAAACTTGTTTTCATTTCAATTCTTAACAATAGTAAACGGTTTGAATGAGAATTCTTTTTTGTTTTCATTCTGATTCCTAATAGTTAGTAAACAACTTAATTGGAATGCTTGACTCTGAATCCTGTTTAACCCGATTCCTGAATACTGCGTTGCATAATGGACATGCTAGAGTGGTGGTGATTTTGTTAGTGGAAGCCGTGCCTCAGTTGTGTTCCTAATGTAACGTTAACGTGCCATTGCTCTTTACAATTTAGGTCACCTAAGCAAGTACATTTTAAATAAGTGTTCCTAAGGATATAAGTCCCTCTATTCGGTTGCTGGTTTTGGTGTAGTTGACTGAATTACAGAATACAAGTCTACTAAATACTATATTTTGTTTATTGTACCGTGTAGCCCAAGTAATTAAAGATCGATAATTAGGGGGAGTGTATCCAATCCATGGACCATGAGCCTTAGTAGATCTGTCATGCCTCCTCCACTCGTATAAGTAACACTCCGTGCTGCCAACATATAAATCAATTTTTACAAAACAGAACAAATATTCCCAAAACAAAAACCATTTCCCCATTGATCACCTTTGTTCAAGATCTCTATTATTACAAATTTCTTGTTTGTTAGTATTATTACTTATTTAATTTATTTTTCAAAATTTTGAAATAATAATTTGCTTCAGAAGTTATGGATTTTACAATCCAATTTCAGATTGAAATCCATGCAAAGTATACATGCCGTCCATTGTCATGTGACTGGATTATCGGAAGTGAGAGCAATGATTTGTTTCACTTCTTATATTCGTTAATCTTAGATGGATGGTATACATACATACATGTATTTTCCTTGCCATCGACAACTGGAAATCTCTTTAGCAAAAGAATTAGTTATGTGATTGATTTTGTGTGGAGACTTTGCTTTTCTAGTATACCAGGAAATTGTTTGATTGTGACAGAACGAGTAAATAAAAGGGAAAAAGCCTTGTGCATTGTCCACCTATATATTCAACCATCTTCGGCACTCTCAGTTCGATATTAATAAGCATATATACGCAGAGCATAGAATATCTTTACAACGAAGAGCATAGAATCTGAAATGGAAGACTTTTTCGTGTACTCAAGTAAGAATCGATCTTTTTATAAATGCTTTTTGTTGACAAGACGACGACTCAGTTCCTGTGTGAGATTCTGATCATGGCTGGTAAGAGAGAGTAAATTAAAGAGAGAACCGCCGCAAGCAATACACAACTTGTATTGCGAGAGAGAGAGAGAGAGAGAGAGAGAGAGAGAGGCTAGCTAGCCATGGATCCTTCTTTGTATTAGGCGGCAACATCAGGTGATGTTGGTTTCTTGAGAGAAAAATAATTAGAGATGGTGGTGCATCAATTGATCTTCTCCATCAGAAAAGGCCTAAAGACAGTAATATTCTTCATATTTCCGCTGAATTCAAGCAAATAGATTTCTTCGAAAATGTCGATCCAGATCGATTTGGTCAGCTCTTTTGGGCCACCAACAAGAAGGGTGACACTCCTCTGCACGTTGCTTCAGTAGGCTGTCATGAAATAGTAAAGTTGCTCATTCAAGTGGCGAATCAACCGCTATCAGTTGAAGGAGCTGATGTGGACTAGCTGATGGTGAAACTCATAATTTTAAACGACTACTTAAAAGACTAATTCGCAAAAGGATACAGCTATGCATGTTGCTTTTGTTAGAGTTTTGTATAGGTTTTGAAGAAGAAGAGAAAAACAATATGCAAGAGAAAACCGAGAGCTTAGCTAAAACAAAACTTCTGTATTTTTGTATTGTATATTGCTCTGAAACTTTCGGGCAAGCACTGTGTGTGCTATAGGACCGTTTAGAGAAATAGCTGGATTCTCTTACATCACTTGAGAATCACAGCCTTACATCCAAAACTGCCTTCTAAGATCTTTACACGTGGCTATAGCCACTTAACACTAACTGACGCCTCACACTTGCCTATTTTAGAGACTAAGTGAATACACCATTTCAGCTTAGGGACTTTAATCACACTCTCATCAGCTCATCACCACTTATATTTCAACACTCCCCTTTAAGTTGTGAGCTGATTTCACACCAAGTTTCTCTCTGAGATAGCAGAAACGATCCTTAGCCAATGCCTTAGTAAAAATGTCTGCTAGTTGCTCATTTGTGGGGCAATAGATCAAATCCACAGTTCCTTCTTGCAAAGCATCTTTAATAAAATGATACCTCCGATCAATATGCTTGGTTTTCTGATGGAAAACAGGATTCCTTGTAATGGCAATAGCTGAAATGTTGTCACAGTGGAGAGGTGTAGCTTCTGTTTGAAGTTCTCCAAAGTCTTCTAGGACAAATCTCAACCAAATAGCTTGTGTTGTTGCTTCAGAGGCACTGATGTATTCAGCTTCTGCAGTAGAGAGTGCAACACAATTTTGCTTGACTGAGGCCCAAGCAAACACTCCACTCCCAAAAGAAAAAGCGTATCCAGATGTGCTCTTGCTATCATCCACTGAGCCACTCCAATCGCTGTCACAATAGCCAATTAGAACTGCCCCTTTTCCTTTCACATACTCCAGACCATAATCCAAGGTTCCTTTTACATATCTAAGGACACGTTTTGCTGTTCCAAGGTGTTTGCTAGTGGGACAATGCATAAACCTTGCAAGCAGACTAGCTGCAAACATAATGTCGGGTCTAGTAGCTGTGAGGTACAGCAGACTTCCAACAATCCTTCTGTAGTGTTCTTCACTTGCCAAGCCACTCCCATCATCTTTACTTAGCTTCTCTGAGGTGACTAGAGGAATAGAAACCGGCTTACACTCATTCAAGCCAAATCTGCTCAACAGAGTTGTTGCATACTTCTTCTGATGAATGAATATGCTTGTTGGTGTTTGAATCACTCCCATTCCCAAGAAGTGATGCAAGAGTCCCAGATCAGTCATTTCATACTTCTCCTTCATGTCCTTCTTGAAATCTTCTAGCATTTCATGATCATTTCCAGTGTAGACTATATCATCTACATAAATGGAAACTATCAGGATATTTTCTGCACCTCTTGCTTTGACATAAAGTGTAGCTTCACTTTGACTCTTTGTAAATCCACACTCAGCAAAATAACCATCAATTTCACTATACCAAGCTCTTGGCGCCTGTTTCAAGCCATATAGAGCTTTGTGTAGTTTGTAAACCTTGCTTTCACTTCCTTTTACCACAAATCCTTCCGGCTGGTCTACATACACTTCTTCCTCTAAAATACCATTTAGAAAAGCTGACTTGACATCCAATTGGTACAGCTGCCAACCCTTCTCAGCTGCAAGGGCAATCAAGGTTCGAATAGTGTCTAATCTAGCCACTGGGGCAAACGTTTCATTGTAGTCCACCCCTGGTTTTTGTGAGTATCCCTTGGCCACCAGTCTTGCTTTATTCTTCTGCACTGAGCCATCCAAATTTAGCTTAGTTTTAAACACCCATTTAACTCCAATAACTGGTTTTTCCATAGGTCTGTCAACAAGTTCCCATGTCTTATTCTTTTCTATCATATTCAACTCATCTTTCATTGCCTTCAACCATGATTCCTCCTTCACAGCTTCTTCAAACTTCTCAGGCTCCATTGTGCACAGGTTGCATTGTGCCAAAATGTCATCCAACTTCCTCCATTTCAATGGTGTATGATCGAAGGTCTGAGTATCTTCCAACCTACTGCTTTCCTTGCTTGATTCTCCATAGGAAGCTGCTGAGTTTCCAGCAGTGAAACCAGAATTTTGAGGCCCTATAGGTGTCTCAAACGAATCCACTTGAGAATTTCTAGGCTGCTCCTCAAAGTTCATCATAACCACAGAATTGTCAGACACTTCTTTCCAATTCCAGCTTGTTCCTTCATCAAATACAACATCCCTTGATAAGAGTAGTTTTCTAGTGATAGGATCAAACACTCTATAACCCTTCTCACATGTTGCATATCCAACAAAAACTCCCCTTGTGCTTTTGGCATCCAATTTCTGTCTATTCTCCTCTGGTTTATGCACAAAACACACACTGCCAAACACTTTTAAATGAGCAACACCTGGTTTTCTGGTGCTATAGGCCTCAAAAGGAGTCTTGTCCCTAAGAGCCTTAGTAGGACATCTATTCAAGATGTACACTGCTGTGTGGACAGCTTCTGCCCATAGATAATAGGGCAGCTCCTTCTCATGCAACATAGCCTTAGCCATCTCTACCACAGTCCTATTTTTTCTCTCTACCACTCCATTTTGCTGGGGTGTGTAAGCCATGGAGAATTGTCTTTGAATCCCTGCATCTTCACATAGTTTATTGAATTCACTAGAAGTGAACTCACCCCCTCTATCACTTCGAACACATTTCACTTTGTAACCACTTTGCAACTCCACCATAGACTTGAATTTTCGAAAACAATTTAGTGCATCCGACTTGTATCTCAAGAAGTAGACCCAAATCATCCTTGTAAAATCATCTATGAGTAACATGAAATATTTGTTACCTCCTAGAGATTCATTTTGCATTGGTCCACACAAGTCCATGTGTATAAGTTCAAGAGGTGTACTAGCTCTCCATGCTTGATCTTTAGGAAACCACTCTCTGTGTTGTTTTCCTAATTGGCAGCCTTCACACACTTCATTTACAGTTTCCAAATGTGGCAGCCCATGTACCATCTCTTTTTCCTTGAGTTGGTTTAGGCCTTTCAAGTGTAAATGCCCCATTCTTTTATGCCAAACCCAAGTAGAGTTGACTACACCAGCTCTTAGTGCAACAAAATCATTTGAGGGTAATGATAATGGATAACATCTATTCTTTCTCATTTCCACCTTCATAACAAGGTTCTCAAGAGAAGAACTATCATAGATGCTGCACATGCTGCTCCCAAATACCAAATGATAACCATGTTCATCCATTTGGCCCACACTCAAGAGATTTTCTCTCAAACCAGGCAGATACATGACCTCTCTGATATACTTTGCACCAGAGTTTGTGTCAAGCACCAAAGTGCCCATGCCGGCTATACTTACAAGCTCCCTTGTTGGCATTTGCACCTTGCCTGTGACTTTTGAGTTTATGTCAACTAACAGCTCCTTCTTCCCAGTCATGTGGTTACTGCAGCCACTGTCTACATATCATTCTCCATTTTCACCCTTTTCTGAAATTGCACAGTTTGCAAAAAACAGATTCCCTCTTACTTCTACTTGGCTTGCATTATTTGCTTTTTGTCCTCCTTTGTTTGCAGTGCAGTCTCTGGCCCAATGTCCAAATCTATCACACTTATAGCACTTGGATTGACCCTTATATCTGCATTCTCCATAGTGAAATTTAGAGCAGACTTTGCATTGAGGCTTCACCCCATCTTGCTGCACAGAATGTGATCCATTTGAAGTCTGTCCAGCGCCAGTTTGCTGTGGCTTCTGTCTAAACTCCCATGGTTTGTTGTTAGGCTTCCAACTCTTCTGAGACTTGGCAGAACCAGACTGAGCATTATTCTTGTTCTGCCCCTTTTGATCGATTTAGAAAGAACCAAATGCTTTCTCAGCTATGTCCACATTATGCATGTCAAAACGTTGCTCTTGACTCTTCAATATTGCAATAACCTCCTGCAATTCAATGGTCTCCAAACTCTTTGTATTTTCAATCACCAAACAGATGGGATCATAAACTCTACTAAGACTGATTAACACCTTTTGAACCAGCCTCTCATTTGATAACACCTCTCCAAATGTTTTCATTTGATTTATCAATTCATTTAATCGAGTAAGATATGCAGTAAGTTGTTCACCTTCACGCATCCTCATATACTCAAATTCTCGTCTAAGATTCTGAAGTTTTACAGATCTAACCTGATCACCTCCATGATATTCAATGTAGAGCAGAGTCCAAGCCATTTTTGCTGAATCGGCATTTGCAATCCAAGGGAAGATCTGGTCAGAGACAGCGTTTTGTATGATGCCCAGTGCCTTTGCATCCTTCATGAGCACAGCACACATCTCTGCTTCAGCTTCTTCCTCCGATGATTCTTCAACTTTCTTGGTCTTCATCTTCGAATCAGAGACTGGAATCCCCTTTTCTACCAGACCCCACAGCCCAAGAGATTTGAAGATTGTCACCATCTTGATCCTCCAGAACTCGTAGTTCTCACCGGAAAAGATCGGAGTTCGTACCTCAGAACTTCCAGATCCAGCCATCGTTTGGTCTGAATCTCAGCAGCTTGCTTCTCTTCTCCGATGCTCAGCTGAGCTTCGATTTTAGCTCAGTGACCTTCACAGTTTTACGCCCAGATCAAAACACCGAACCTGGCTCTGAGGCCATGTTAGAGTTTTGTATAGGTTTTGAAGAAGAAGAGAAAAACAATATGCAAGAGAAAACCGAGAGCTTAGCTAAAACAAAACTTCTGTATTTTTGTATTGTATATTGCTCTGAAACTTTCGGGCAAGCACTGTGTGTGCTATATGACCGTTTAGAGAAATAGCTGGATTCTCTTACATCACTTGAGAATCACAGCCTTACATCCAAAACTGCCTTCTAAGATCTTTACACGTGGCTATAGCCACTTAACACTAACTGACGCCTCACACTTGCCTATTTTAGAGACTAAGTGAATACACCATTTCAGCTTAGGGACTTTAATCACACTCTCATCAGCTCACCACTTATATTTCAACAGCTTTCCGATGCGGTCATCGTAAAGTGGTGCTTCTGTTAATGAAAGCCGGTCCCGAATTCTGTTAATGGAAATCTCTTTACTAAAAGAATTAGTTCTGTCATTGATTTTGTGTGGTGGAGGAGACTTCGCTTTTCTAGTATACCAGGGAATTGTTTGATCGTGACATAACGAGTAAGTAAAATGGAAAAAGCCTTATGCATAGTCCACCTATATATTCAACCATCTTCGGCACTCTCAGTTCGATATTAATAAGCATATATACGCAGAGCACAGATATCTTTAAGACGAAGAGCATAGAATCTGAAAATGGAAAACTTTTTTGGGTACTCGAGTAATAATCATTCTTTGTAGAAATGTTTTTGTTGACAAGACGACGACTCGGGTCCTGTGTAAGATTCTGATCATGGCTGGTAAGAGAGAATAAATGAAAGAGAGAACGGCCGTAAGCAATTCACAACTTGTATTGCAATAATTAATAGGTGCTTTGCCCACTACTTTGAGAGAGAGAGAGAGAGAGAGAGAGAGAGAGAGAGAGAGAGAGAGAGAGAGAGAGAGAGAGATCAAAGCTAGGTAGCCATAGCCATGGATCCTTCTCTGTATGAGGCGGCAACATCAGGTGATGTTGGTTTCTTAAGGGAGAAAATTAGAGATGGCGGTGCATCAATTGGTCTTCTCCAACAGAAAACGCCTAAAGACAACAATATTCTTCATATTTCCGCTGAATTCAAGCAAATAGATTTCTTCAAAAATGTCGATGCAGATCAATTTGATAAGCTGTTTTGGGCCACCAACAAGAAAGATGACACTCCCCTGCACGTTGCTTCACGAGTAGGCTGTCATGAAATAGTAAAGTTGCTCATTCAACATGCGAAGAAAAAGCTTCATCACACGGAAAGAGGTGATGAGGAGAGCGGACCAGCTGATGGTGAATCTCATAACAAGTTACTCCGAGTGACTAACTCGGATAAAGACACAGCTTTGCATCTTGCTGTTCGATATAATCACGAGGAAGTTGTGATTCTGTTAATGGAATCTGATCATCAATTGTGTTGTCTTACAAATAAAGCAGAGGAGTCGCCCTTGTTCCTTGCTGTTAGAAAAAGATCTCCAAGCATTGCTCATTGTATTCTACAGGCTTACGATTCCGACATTTCTCCTTCTTTCCAGGGGACTAACGGACTGACAGCCTTGCATGTGGCAGTGACTCAAGAAAAACTCATAGACAAAGGTACGCAAACATGACATCGCCTAATTGTAAGAGCTTTCGAGCTCGATTCATTAGTATATGGGTATGCTGTGTGGTGTCATATTATATTAATAGGAAAAATAAAGGTGAACTTACTACGTAGGTACTTAAATGAACACATACGTATATATATACACACACAGAGCTTCTATCGAGGGATCATTCAAATTAGCTTATTTAAGGGATACCCTTGTAACAGCCCATCCATATTGTATTTCACTAATTCAAACCGTCTATTTTGTAGATACTCATTTAACGATCATCTCTACAAAAAAAATCATTGAATCCAATATCATTTTATCACTCAATTGAATTATTGAAATTTTAGTACTTTCTTGAAGTACCATGTTAATTGATTTTGTAAGACACAATTGGATATCGAAACGGTTTCCGATTTTCTAATTTTTTGCAAGGATGATCTATGAATGTAGACTTAAAATATAGATAGTTTGGATCGTTGAAAAATAAATCGTAGAGGATCCTAAATGGTGTCCCTCAAATAATTTATTTGAGGGATTCCTTAATAAAAGGGCCTAAACAGCTCTTCATGCTGCAGTTTTATATGGGACTAACACTACGAAATCTTTTACTTTTATATAACAAGGATTGTTTTTGTTGAATATAACTCTATTTGGGTCCAATAATTTTTATACATGCAACATGGTAGGCGTTGTCAAGATGATGATGTCCAAAAATCATGACATAATCAGAGAAGTTGATGCTATTGGATGGACCCCCTTGCACTACGCAGCATTCACAGGGCACGTTGAAGCTACTCAACTACTGTTGAAATCTGATAGCTCAACTTGTTACATGCTGGACGAATCTAAAATGTCAGCTCTCCATGTCGCAGCCTATGCAGGCCACACCAAAGTGATGGCGGAGCTAATTCGATGTCGGCCTGATGCTTCTGATTTGCTTAACTCAAAAGGCCAAACGGCTCTTCATGCTGCAGTTTTAGGTGGACAAAGAGGTGTGGTTAAGTACATATTAAGGACCCCTAAGCTTGCGGGACTTATTAATGAAGCTGACAAAGACGGAAACACTCCTCTGCATATGGCGGTTATTTACAAAAAGATCGAAATTATTGACATTTTGACGTCTGACCCTAGAGTGGACAGGACTGCTATCAATAAAAAACTCTCAAAAGCCATTGATATTTTTCTTGGTCAATGTATTGAAGAACAGGTACGCATGCAATAGATTCTATGTTCAAAAGGGAAACCATACAAAAAAGAAAAAAAAAAGATATTCTTCTTGGTCAATGTATTGAAAAACTCTCTCTCTCTCTCTCTCTCTCTAGGAAATTATCAACAGATGTCCAGTGTTGCAGCAGTTGGGGTCCTCCGTGGGTGGTACATTTTTCCAACAAAAAATCAGGAATGATTTCAACAAAGTAAAACCTTCACAGAAGGATACGCCCTGCACACCAGCCGCCATTGGACATAAGTGGCAAAAAGAGGAGCAAGCTAGTTCAAATCAGGCCTTGAAAAGACTTGATACGAAGCTAGTGGTAACGACACTTATTGCAACCGTCACTTTTGCAGCCGCTTTAACACCTCCGGGAGGATTTAAAACTGACGGGACTCCGGTTTTATTTGAAAATTATTATTACAAAGTATTTCAGCTTTTCAACCAGGTATCCTTCGTTCTGGCAATTCTTGCGATCTATAACGAATCAAATCCAATACGTTTTCTGTCAATCGAAGTAGCCACACCTGCAAGACTCATTCAGTATTCCATTGGAGGGTTGCTGGTAGCGTTTGTTTCGGTCGCAGCTGCAGTGACGCCCAAATGCCACAGCAAAGGTCCACTTCAAATTATTCCCATTGGACCAAGTCCAGTTGATATTTTTGTCAATATCTTCCAACTTTTTGTTATAGCATTTGCTCTCATCCCCGTCGTTACGTTTGTATATCAAAAGCTCAGGGAGAGACAAGTCAGCAACCGAGTAATTTAGAAGCGCTTATCATAAGTGTTTGTTATTATTGGTTTATTAGTTATAAGTGTCTGTTATTGGTTTCCTCAACATAAGTTTTGTCAACTTTTTATGGTGTTTTTTGTTTTTGTTTCATACTTTTTTAGAGCATCCACAATATCCCACCAAAATCATATATTATTAAGCGAACTCATCTACTAATGAGCCCAAACAACCTTGAAATATCCAAAAATCAGAAAAATAAATCATCAGCAATTATGAACAACAGAAAAAAGGCTATAAAGCAATTATGTCCTCTGTCATGATGCTAAATTTGAAGAGAACGACAATCAAGCCAAGAATCCCACTATCTCAAGTCAACCTCCAATCACAACGTGATTGGTACTATTTATGTACAAATCCCTGTAATCATGTAATTTCCTCTTTTGTTATAGTTGACCACCGCTAGAATCCTGTATATATGGTGTATCTCAATATGAATCAAATCATCGAGTGATCCAACCCAAACTTCTCTCTTGTCTATTTTTCTACATGGTATCAGAGCTTTGACTAAAATGTGACAGGCAATAGGCTATAAATGTTGTCATATTTAATCATCGCCATCTAAGTGAACAAGGTTACACAATTTCTCTATGTTTTGGCGGCTGTTTGATACTTCTACTTTAAATTTGTGGAATCGCCTGGGGTACTTTGTCAGTGTGCCACTTTTCCAACAACAAATCAGGCGTGATTTCGAGAAACCAGAAGCTCCGGTGAACAATACATCGGCCAAAATCACAAACACAAGAGAGACGCCTCAATTCTATTCAGATTGTGAGATGGAACGACGCGATACCACACTGCTGGTAGCAACACTTATCTCAACTGTAACGTTCGCAGCAGGTTTCACCATTCCTGGAGGACTTAAAAGTGACGGGAAAGCGGTTTTAGATGGAAGTGCATATTTTAAAGTGTTTATGTGTTCCAACATTGTCTCCTTCTTTCTATCAGCCTTTGTGATTTACAATGAATTACTAGAGGAAAGTTTCTTAGCAATCCAAACGGTTGCACTTGTCCTTCGGTGTTCTGTTGGAGGACTTGTCTTTGCATTTTTTTCAGGCTTCATGGCAGTGCAGGATAATAAAGGCAAGGGGAGTCCTACTGAGAGTATGCTCTGGTTGTTATTTTCTATGTTGTTTTATGCTTTTATGTTTTCGTCATGGAACTATAATCCACATTTAGCAAGAATGAAGAGGGAAGGAAAGATCTGCCTGCAAGACCATAAAATTTGATGGCGCTTATGTAAACCCGAAAAGAGAAAAGCCTTTCTAAAACACAATCTAATGTATAGAGCAGCAGTGAAAAAGCCGAGAGCTTTTTTCTCTCCTCTGTTTTCCTCCTTCATTTACATTTTGCTATTTTTGCTTGTGTTTGTGAGTGTGAGCAGCTGGTGTTGAGAGTGCAAGGTTTAGTCTGTGTATGGAAATTTCAGTTGTACCACGTTTTGCAAGATAAATTTAGAAGAGATTACTTTCACCTCCAAATTCACAGTTGAACTAGTCACTGCTAAGTTGATGCAGTTTGGTCTTCTTTTATAAGTCTATGTTGTTGTCAACAATTTTCACTATGAATTTAAAAAAAGAAAAAGAAAAAAGAAGGAACCTTTTGAAAATGGTACTTAGGTGACGAGGGGTAAATTTAATCACATAAACAAGACACAACAACACAGCAATCTTCACACACTTTAAACCTTGACCAAATACACATATGACTAGTCAACTACTAGTCATGAACAATCACAACCAAGAGAATACACAGAGTATTCCACAATGTACCTGCAACCCTAGAAGATTACTAGTGACAACCTAGGCACTCAGAAGGACCCGTCAATCTAGGCATCCCCTGTGCTAGTAACAACTATGGTGAAAGTGTGTGAAATCATCATTATCATGTAAGCATCAAACAGCAGATAAAGATGACTAGTCAACCACCAAGAACACAAACCCAGAAAAATTACAGATATGCAAAACAGATTTTGTTCACCCAGAAACCCACCATTGGGAAAAATTGGAAGACATCAACCGACCAGGCACTCCACTAAGTAGAAAAAGATTCTTACAAAGGAAACACAACCAAGCTCAAGAAGCACCTAGGTCTATTTAGGAATATGAGCAATACCTCCTTTGTGCAATCTTCTTCTCCAACTTAGCAAAACTTGAAGCTCAGTTCTTCATGGCAATGGCAGCTCCTTCTCCAGCTCGTTCATCCCATGGCACTAGCTTGCAAGCTCCAACACAGACCGAAACCAATATTTGGATTCAAAGGAGAATGACCAATTTCTTCAAAAAACCATACTCTTGAAGAAATCAGTCTTGAATCTGACCTAGATATAAATGAGAGATGATTTAAGTAGCTAGATGCAGATTCGGGTTTCAAAAGCAGTTTTTCAAAAAGATATCAATTGGAAAAACTCATAGATGAAATATTTGGTTCTCTCTTGAGGAAGAAGAAGAGAAAGATCGCAAGCCAATCTTTTCAAAACTTCCTCCCCAAAAGAGACAGCAGCCAAATGAGCAAAATCGTAGCCTTTACAGACCAAAAAATTCCTTAGGTCAGAAACCCACTTGGCAGCAGAGAGAGAGAAAGAAGAATAGGACAAAATAGTTTGTTATCCAGCTGGAAGCAAGGATGACTAGTCATATGAGGAACGGATGACTAGTCATCATTTTATGAAGACTGTTTAATGTAATGATATGCAATGCTCAATACCTTTGTCAACTTGCTTGAGCCACCATAGAGCAGAGATTAGAGAAGAGCACCAATAAGAGTTTTTCCTAATCTAGACTTGAGCTTGATAAATTACATTACACATCCTATTACAAAGTTGTCAAGGGAAGCCAAAAGAAAATAGTAAAAACCATACATTAACACCTTTCCTCAAGCCAACATACAAGTCATCAACAATTTTCACTATGAATGATAGTCTTCATTTGACACAATTTAGAGTGCTGCCCTTTTTCTCTTTATTACATGAGGTTTTGAAGGTATAATCTCTCACCGCTTAAAAGATGAGGTACATATGCCAGTCATGCGCGCTTTTGATCAGCTTTTTTCTTCTTTGATTAGCGGAATCTTGGCTTTATTAATTTCATTTTATTATCTATTTCTGGTACCACCAGTAGCATAGGAAACGTCCTACTCGATATGCTAGCATTGGAACTTCCTCGATCCCACGGTACGGGGAGGCCTAGGTAGGTGTACTTAACCATCACTGAAAAGTCCAGACGCATATTGTTGTCCAAGCGACTGTTCATGCTACAATGGACTTTTAAAATAAGCCGAATGACATCATGAATATAGCGATTGGTTGTTTACAATGTTCTGTAGTTTACTGAGAATGTTAACTTAGTTGTTCAACTTAAAAAGTCAACCTTTCTCGCCTTGATCTTTTTAGATATCTGTTATTATGCATGGTAAACCTCTAGTGTGCGATCGAACATACCATGAACGATGTACTTTTTTTAATTTTAAAAAGTCAACCATTTATAGTTGTTTGTTTCTGAAATTCCACATATATATGTTCCGCAGAGAGAGAGAGAGAGAGAGAGAGAGAGAGAGAGAGAGAGTTTAAAGCCATGGATCCTTCCGTCTATGAGGCAGCAAAATCGGGTGATGTTGATTTTCTTGAGAAGAATTAGAGACGGTGAGTTATCAATTGATCTCGAGTGTCAGAAAACACCTAAAAACAACAATATTCTTCATGTTGCGGTTGAATTCAAGCAAGTAGAATTCTTCACAAACACCTCACTTGGATCCCCAATGTTTTGGGCCACCAACATCAAGGGTGACACTCCCTTGCACACTGCTGCCAAAGTAGGTTGTCTTCTAGTAGTTGAGTTCCTCATCAATCATGCCAAAATGCTACACATTGAAGGAGTTGATGAAGAAAACGGACCAGCTGATGGTGAAGCTTACAAAAAGTTACTTCGAATGACTAATTTGGAAAAGGACACAGCACTGCATGTTGCTGTTCGATGCGGTCACTGTAGAGTGGTGATGCTGCTAATTGAAGCTTATCCTACATTGTGTTGTTTGACTAATTGTGCCAATGAGTCGCCTTTGTTCCTAGCTACGTCTAAGGGCTTTCAAAGAATTGCTCGTTACATTTTATGCGAGTCTTCAATATGTCCTTCTTTTGATGGGATTAACGGTGTCACAGCTTTGCATGCAGCAGTAACTCGTAGGACAAAAAGCGCCAAAGGTAACTTCATGCATGACTTCCCCTAATATGCTAATTTTCATATATATATATATATATTTAAGGCCCCGTTTGGGATTGCTTTTTTTGGCTAAAAACCCGCTTAACTTTAAAGTTAAGCAGTTTAAGGTGTTTGGTAAAAATAAAATATCATGCTTATTTTAAAAGTAATGGTCTTTTGATAGCAGCTTTTAAAAGCAACCTCGGGGTTGCTTTGTAAAGCTGCTTTTAATTGAAACAGCGCGCTCCCTTTAATGAAATTTTCGCAATTCCACAAATACCCTTATTAGGTTAGAAATTTATCCTCACGTATTTCTCACAAATCTGCAGACACCAAGTTCATCACGTAGCCTCCCAAGTTTGGAGACAACCATTCGCTCAATCTCTCTCAATCTCTTTCACAAGGTAGATTATCAATCTCTTCAAAGTTATTGATTATAATTTTCTGGGATATTTTTATTCTTCAATCTCTTCAATCTCTCAAACTTTTTGTAGACGTGCTGTTTCTGTGTTTTTTTTTCTACTGGAGTTTCTGTAGAACTAGCTACTGCATCGCCAGAGTGCCTTTCTATGGCAGCTCCTGGAGTTGTTGTTGGAGGGTGCCTTTTGGCTTCCCTATGCATCACATGTTCTCTGTTTCTTTATGTGTGCTCCTGCCTTACATATGTTTTTCTCCATTAAAACTTGAAACTTAAAATTCAATTCCAAAGTCTCCCTCGTAATCTAACCATATGATCGTGCCAATTAGATTGTCTATTATGTTGTTTGTTTTCTTGTATTGTTTTGGGGAAGAGATAGAAGGCCTTCATGCACTTCGTTCAGGAGCATGAAGTCCTGATGTTCGTTGACAATAACTTTGGGTATATATTGATGTATGTTCACAAAAGATTCTTAGCTTAAAAAAGAGGTGATATCAGTTGGATAATAGGGCTATATATTTTGCTCATATATATTTCAATTGAAGGGTACGTACTTCTAGTTTTTTTTTCTGTACCAGCATGCTCGCTTTCTTGGCTTGATAATTAGTTTGGTCTCACTACCATTGCTTACACTATCAACAGCTTCAGACTTTCCCACTCAATATTCATCATCACCACTAAATATTTATTTTCTAGAGAGCTTGATGAAATAAAAGAAATAAAAGTTTGCTCTTTATTTTTATTTTCCATAAGTGATATATGTATAGTTTTTCTTTGACTTCAATTAATCCTTGTTATCTTGTACGACTTGGTGTATTGCTTTTGATGTATGTAGTTTTGCCCCATTTTTCCTATATGTAATTACTTAGGCACTATGCATATTTTTAGTAAAAATTTTATTTGCTATAACATGTTCATCTCCCAATACATATATATTTATATAAGGACATGCACAGATGAAACCCAAATATGCAAAATTACGTAGAAAGGGTATTAGTCCTCATATGGAAGAGAAGTTTGATAGAATGTTCATGAACACCACTGCCATTGGTGACCATGCTTGGGCACCTTCATCTGGTGTACTTCCAACTCATGATTCATCTGAATGTGATGGTATTCTACTCGACAGTGGTGATGATTCTAATGATCCCGTATACGTACCAGATGAAACAATTCAAGTTACTGAAAAATTTTGTGGGAAGGGGAAAAAGAGAACAAATCAACAACTTGATAAACAGGTTAAGAAAGAGAAGAACGGAAATAGAGTTGCTACAAAAGTGGGGAAGGTAGGAGGTGCTGTTAAATTGTCACAACAAATTGAGCGGATGGTTGATGTAATGGAGAATAGGAGTACAAATTCAATGATGATGAAAGGGTCCCAAGGTAGCAGCATTGCTGAAGTGATGAAAGCAATTTCGTCTTTACCTGGTGCAGGGCATGGAAGCCATTTGTGGTTGTTTGCAACTCAGTTATTTCTAAATCAAGAGAAAAGAGAAATGTTCACAACTATGGAAGATCCTAACATCAAGCTTCAATGGCTAAACTATGAGCTTTCTGAAAAATAAGCTTCAATGTCTAATATTTCTTATAACTTTGTTTTGCTACTTGGATTTATCTTTTAGGTTTCGTATTTGGGTTTTCTATTTGAATTTGTTATTTGGATGGTTAGTTATATGTGACTGTTATTTGGATGATTGTTTTTAGTGAATATTCATATGACTTTTATTTATATCAATGCATATGTGGATTTTAGTTGATTATGATGATGAGAATGTCTATAACACTGCAGGTTTATTTCAAGATATGGAAATTTCAGAAGATGAAAGGGAGTTCAACCAAATTGTATGTGTCTGTATTCGTACTATGGAATATTATTATGAGAAGTATATTCATAAAAGTCCTTGTATGGATTCTTTTCAAACAGGAAATAAGTGGGTGATGGAAATGTTACGAGGGAATGAAAAACGTTGTTATAGAATGTTTAGAATGGATAAATGTGTATTTTTGCAATTATGCACTGACTTGGAAAATAATTATGGGTTGAGAGGTTCTAGGAGAATGTGTGCTGCTGAGATGTTGGGAATGTTTGTGCACATTCTAGGACATGGTATAGGGAATAGGCTAGCACAAGAACGATTTCAACATTCTGGTGAAACAGTGAGTAGATACTTTGGTAAATTACTTGATATTGTATGCCTTATGGCCGTTGATATCATAAAACCGTTGGATCCTGAGTTTAAGGGAGTCCCATAAGAGATATTGAGAGATTCAAGATATATGCCCCATTTTAAGATAAAAATTAGATACAACAATTTATCGTTTGTTTTACGAACAAAGCAATATTTATTGAAATCTTTCTCTTATTGTTTGCAGGATTGCATTGGTGCTATAGATGGAGCACAAGAACTAGAAACATTAAGGAACAAGATTGCTACAAGTTTAATGCATGCATTTTCTTAGACATTTTTTTTTAATTTCCATTTATTTAAGCCTAGTTTCAATGTTTTTTTTTATTGCTACAATTTGAAGGATGGTTTGTGAATCTACTACCATAATTATCTCTTTATCTTTGTTGAAATTTATTCAATACATAATTATGTTTGTTTATCCCAGACCTTGAGGTTGTTCTAGTAGAATATGAAGTGATTGTGTATTATGGTATTTGAGGCTAAAAAAAGAAAAAGCAAGTTATATTTGGTCCTAGAAAAGAAATGATATATATATATATATATATTTTTTTTAAATTTGAATTTGAATTTTTACTTTTCTTTAAGCAAAGATTAATATAATTTTTTGGGAGAAAAATATAAAAGCACTTTACAGTTTTATTTTTTACCAAACAAATTAGTAAAAAAGCACTTTCAGCATCATGTCCATTTTAGTCATTATAAATAGTTACAGCACTTTTATGGTAAAAATTACCAAACGCTCTGATACTGCTTTTCATACTCACAACGCTTTTAAAATTATAGTTTACCAAACGTTTAACTGCTTTACTTTACAGCTGATTCTTTTTAAAGCACAGCAGAAGCAGCTTTTTTTTAAAGCTGCAGCAATCCCAACACCTAGGCCTATTAGATTGAACCTTGGTTTTTTTTTTTTTGGTTGGTAACAAACCTCCCTTTTTTTTTTTTTTTTTTTTTTTTTTTTTTTTTTTTTAGTTAGATAATTATATAGGAGAAATATATGAGAGAGAAAGAAGAGATGACAAGGGGAAATGGAGAAGTAAAGGATAACGTATGAAACCAAAACTTGATAAAAAAAAAATAATAATAATAATAAAAAAACCACTTGTTAGAAATTTGTTTTTGATTAGTTTATATGGTTTTCAGTTTTCATTTTGTATAATATTTCATTACATTTTCTCCCTCCTCCATCCCTTCTCCTCCGCCTTCCTCCTTTCTCTCTCTCTCCTTTTCCTATATGTTTTCCTCTGTCTTCAAATGAAAAGGCAAAAGCTAAAAGCTAAAATCGAAATAGTATTAAATGGACCCTGCAAACACAATTTCATTTGGCGCTCAAATTGTTATTGACGATGGATTCTTAAACGGGGGCACTATTGCTAGCCCCATTTCCTATTCCCAATCACCTTATTTTCTCACACACCTATTTAATTGATAGATTATGGATAATTTGGAAATAATGGTGGATGAGAAGAGAGGATTAAAACTTAATGGGGGTTAGAATATAGGTTGGTGAAAAAATATCTTTTTTTTAGTCAACGTGAAAAAATAACATAAATAGGTCAAATAACAGCACTCTTTTAAGAAACAATAGTATACTTTTTTCACCCATCGTTATCCCATATTCCTCTCATCATCTTCGCTTCTCGTAACCCTATAACCTAATTCCAATTCTAATTTCTTTTCTTTAAACTGCCTCCCTGGGATGCCCAAGTTCAGACCCTCCTTGATCAACTACAACTTACATGCTACCATAAAGCTATTTGATTTTTAGCAATATTTAGTATTTTAATAACATAAATACATATGAGTTTATTTCAGATTTAACCATATTGCAGAGTGCAAAAGAAGGGATAAAACTGTAATCAATATATATATTTTTTAATATGACTCTTCTCAACTCCTCACTAATTTTTGTATATCAACATGCTAGACATTGTGAACACAATGTTATCCAAAAATCCCAAGATGATCAAAGAAGTGGACGCACTTGGGTGGACGCCCTTACACTACGCAGCGTTTTGGGGAAACCTTGAAGCAACTCGATTGTTGATGCAATGTGATAGCTCTGCTGCTTACCTCTTGGACAAATCTGGATTATTGTCAGCTCTCCACGTCGCCGCCTATGTAGGACGTGCCATAGTTTTGGAAGTGATGATTCGATGTCGGCCCGATGCATGTGATTTGCTGAATGCCAAAGGCCAAACGATTCTGCACGCTACCGTTTTAGGTGGACAAATAAATGTTGTTGAGTTCATATTGCAGACGAATAAGCTTGATGGGCTTATAAACGACGCAGATAAAGATGGCAACACTCCTTTGCATCTCGCTGCAGCTTACCCTCATTTGGAAATTGTTGAACTCTTGGCATCCGATCATAGAGTTGATAAGACTGCAATCAATAAAAATTTCTCGAAGACAGCCGATATTTTTCTTGGAGATAGTTTTGGACGGGTATGTACGCTACAAATATATGGTCTTCCTAGCATATTATTGCATTATATTTTTGTTGACTAAGACCATAATTCTCCATATATATGTTTATTTAGGATGCCTTCAATAGTCCGCTTTTGTTCAACCTGGGACGCTCTAGTGGTGTCCCATTTTTCCAGCAACAAATCGGACCGATTCTGGACAAAAGAAACTGGATTGATTCTAACTGATTCCGATTCCAATTCCAATTTGACATCTCTAAAAACCGGACTGGGCCCAATCAAACCGAAATCAAATAAAAAATAAATAATGTGAATATATTTTGGTGGCCCAAGAACTAAAACCCATCATCCAACACCAAACCCTAAAGGCTAAAGCCACTTTTTCTTTCTTTTCTCTCTCCCTTATCTTTACTTTTTTTTTCCATTGTGTGTCTCTTTCTCTTTTTCTTTTTCTTTTTTTAATCTTTTTTCTTCCTCTTTCTCTCTTTTTCTTTCTTTTTTCTCTTTCTTCTTCCTCTTTTTCTCTCTCTTTCTCTCTTTCTCTTTCGTCTTCCTTTTTATGATTCCGATTTTCTCTTTTGAACTTTCACCCTTTTCCTCAAGACATGTGTTCCTTTCCTTACATTTAAAACAATGTAATTAATGCATCAAACAAGCTATCATTTGTTTTCCAAATTTACCTTTATTAAATATATTGATTTTAATTTTTTTTAATTTATCCAAATTTTTTTTACAAACTTTTTACCTCCTTGTTAAAAATTAATTAAGAAAAAAACGTTTTTTTTAGAGACTCTAAAGGCAACAAGACATTCAAATAAGTGCCAGTTTGGCATTGGTTATTTGGGGTGATAAGTGATTTTAAAAAAAATTTTGAGAAGCCCAACCCGTTTGGTAAACTGCGAAAAAATCATTTATTGTTAAAAATTGCTGTGAGAGAAAGCTATAAAGGAAAGCAGTTAATGAGGTGCTTTCATTTTCTGATTATGCAGGAATCAGTTTCGAAGAGGTGTTGGGTTTAATGATTATGCAGCAATCATTTTCTGATTTTGCATAAAATCAATACCAACAACACTTTTAACAAAAATTTTACCAAACGCCAAAATGCTTTATCTCACAGCTGATTTCTCTCACAGCAAATCTGACAGCGATTATTTTCACAGCACAGCAATGCCAAACTGGCCCTAAGACTAAAAATTAAATAAGAAAAAGCATTAGTTTTATTTTTGGTCTTCTGAAAGACTCCAAAGGGAGTAAGGAGAGAAATTGGTTTAAATCGAAAATTTGGTATGCCAGAATTTTAGGATTTTTTTTTCCTTCAAATAATTAGACTCCAAAGGCAGTAAGAGATATAAAAAATATATAAAAAAAAACTATGAACTTTCTTTGGAATCTGATTATTTGGGGTTTTTTAAAAATATTTTTAGTTGTTACTGAAAATGCTCTTAAACTTTATTTAGTGGTATAAAAAATGCAATTAAAGAACTTCCTTTTGAAGGAAGTCTTTTTTCTGTATAAAATTGTGATCTTTCTATTGAGTGTGTTTTTTTAGGTCATTCTTTTGTGCTTAAAAAAATAGAAGTTTTATCTCTGGAAAAAATATACATTTTCTTTTTTTTTAAACTGACATATTTTATTATTTAATTTTTTACATGTGGTAAGAGAGTTGCAAAATTATTTTTGAATAAATTGAAGGACAAAACATTTAAGAAGGATAAACTTGGAAAACAAATGTTAGCTTGTTTGATGCATTAGTTACATTGTTTTAAGTGCAAGGAAAGTGACACATGTCATGATGAAAAAAGATAAGATCCAAAAGAGAATGTTGGAGAGAAGATTGCTAGCATTTTCCAAACATATAACAACAAGTGATTAAAGTTGAGGACTACATCCCTATGAGTCTCGATAAACTCTGCAGGGGTCAAATACACAGATAGAGCTCATTCAATTTGCGAAGACCCATGATGAGCTTAAAATAAAACTCGTTCCATTTGTGCTCCATTGATTGTAAATTAGTTTTGAGTTTTTCTTAAATACTATAAAACAAAATTTACAAATTTACATCGTTCAACTTGAATATACACTCAATTTCTCACGAGATTTTCTATTTAAACCCCGCATTTCTCTTAATTCACCCCCAATGTTCTAAGTTCACCCCAACTTTTGATTTAAATTTTCACAATTTCTAAGAAAACTCCACTATCTTCCCAAACTACCCTTAAACACACCCCAAACTGAAAAAATAAGAACTAAAAGGGAATTTCTATTTAAACCCCACAATTTTCTTTGTGCCCAGCAAAAAAAAAACACAAACAAATGAAATCCCAAATCCAAAATTTAACAGTTTCTAGAGAAAGAGAACATCTTTACATATCTCCAAGAACTGTAATTGGAATTCTAACACTTGGGTATTGTTGAGAGAGAGAGAGAGAGAGAGAGAGAGAGAGAGAGAGAGAGAGAGAGAGAGAGAGAGAGAGAGAGAGAGTTTGTAAACAGGAAATTGGAAGGAGGTTTCCAAAACTTAATATGAAGAGTGGTGGGGTGTATAGATGTACTAGGGTTAATTATTAAGTTGAATAACCTTTTTTGTCTTTTTACACAATAATAAAACTTACAGTTTAATGATTAAGTATTAGGGTGAACAAAGAGAAGTGAGGGGTTTAAATAGAAAATCTCTTTCTCATGACTCCTTTAACGTTTTTTTAGCAGCACATGGTGGCTGCCCGCTTGGGCCAATGTGCTGAATCACATGGTGATGCACTTGCTCTCATGAGGGTCTTTGTTTATTGAAATGAATATATTGAAGTATCTTTTATCCCTAATTAGACAAAATATATGTTTAAATAAAGAATAATGCTACTCTTACCACATTTGTATACCACATCTTTATACCATCTTATGTGGCAGTTGAGGTGGACAGCCACATCAATTAAAATTATTTAATATTTTCTTTTCTTTTATGATTTATTCCAGTATTTGTTTTTCTAATTGTCTTAATTAAAATACACTTCATTGATTTAATTGATGTGGCATATAATATGGACATGCCACATCATGTGGTATGGAAATGTGGGATAAAAATGTGGTAAGTGTAGCATTACTGTTAAATAAATATATTGAGTGTTTCTAAGTGTTTTAAACTATTGTCAGGTATGTATTTGTAGGTAATTGATTAATAATAAAAATAAACTAGTACTGTATTTTTTTGGGAGAAATATCGGATACTTTTGTTTAAGGTAGTTGACTCTTGATGAGTTTCAACATAATTATAATTAATACCATTCATTACTATACCAGACTATCTAAGTAAAAAAGTATATTTACCCATTATTACCAACGGAGTCTAACACAGTGGAAAATGCCTTAACTTGCAGATAAGAGGTCTCAAGTTCGAACCCTCATAACATCATTTGTGTGTGTATGTGTGAGAAATCCCCCTCCTCTCTAGTTTAAACTATCACTTGTACTAAAAAGTAAGTATATAAAGATTGTAGATAATATCAGCTTTTACTTTAGTTGGTAAAGGTAGGTGTGTGCAAAGAGTGTACAACAACACAACTCCTTTATATGCATCGAGAGAGAAAAACCTCTCAACTAAGTTTTCATCAAAGGGATTTGGTGTAGTTCACATTTAGTAGAAATAAAATATATTATATATTAGAATACTGTTTTCTTGACAGGTAATTAGCACTAAGCCTGGTCATAATTATTTATACCTCGAATGCTAAGCACGGTTCACAACACAATAATCTTCAAGGCATTGCTGCTTCCTGTGCTACATTGAGCAAGTTTCAGAGAGTTCAAAGCCATGGATCGTTTGGTATATGAGGCGGCAACATCCGGCGATGTGGGTTTGTTCAGAAGGATTAAAGATGGTGATGAATTACCAGATGTTCTTTTTAAGAAAACACCCAAAGACAACAATGTTCTTCACATTGCAGCTGAATTCAAGCAAATAAAATTCTTCAATGACATCCCACTTGAATATGGATCTTCACTGTTTTGGGCCGCCAACAAGAAGGGTGACACTCCACTGCACGTTGCTGCCAAAGTAGGATGTGTTGAAGTAGTTGAGTTCCTCATTGAACATGCAAGGAAATCGCTTCATCACATGGAAAGAGGTGATGAGGAGAGAGGACCAGCTGCTGGTGAATCTCAAAACAAGTTACTCCGAGTGAAAAACTCGGATAACGACACAACGTTGCATCTTGCTGTTCGATACAATCACGATGAAGTTGTGATTCGGTTAATGGAAGCCGATCCTCAATTGTGTTGTTTCACTAATAAGGCAAATGAGTCGCCCTTGTTCCTAGCTGTTAGAAAAGGCACTCCAAGCGTTGTTCATTGTATTCTGAAGGCGTACGGGTCTGGCGTTTCTCCTTCTTTTCAGGGCACAAACGGATTGACAGCTTTGCATGCCGCAGTGACTCAAGAACAACTCAAAGACAAAGGTACGTGAACATGGCACCACCAGATGAAATGTGTTGATTTTATATTACGAGGATTTTATTTTGGTGGAAATTTTCACTACCTCTCACCTCTTTAGTTTTTCCTATATCAACATGGTAGGCGTTGTCGAGATTCTGGTGTCCAAAAACAGTGACCTAATCAAAGAAGTTGATGCTATTGGATGGACTCCCTTGCACTACGCAGCATTCACAGGGAACGTTGAAGCTACTCAACTACTGATGGAATCTGATAGTTCTGCTTCTTATATCATGGACTTATCATAAAAAATGTCAGCTCTCCATGTTGCAGCCTATGCAGGCCACACCGAAGTGATGGAAGAGTTAATTCGATATCAACCTGATACTTGCGATTTGCTTAATTCAAAAGGTCAAACGGTTCTTCATTCTGCAATTTTAGGTGGACAAGGCAAGGTGGTTAAGTACATATTAAGGACGCCTAAACTTGCGGGACTTATTAATGAAGCTGATGAAGACGGAAACACTCCTTTGCATATCGCTGTTAATTACAAGAAAGTAGAAATTATCTCCATTTTGACGGCCGACCATAGAGTGGACAAGGATGCTGTCCATAAAAAGTTCTCAAAAGCCATTGATATTTTTCTTGGTCAAAATAGTGAAGAACAGGTACGCAATACAGGTGCACACACACATAAAAATTATATATAAAAAACTCAATTTTTTTTTTTTTTTTTTTTTTTTTTTTTTTTTTTTTTTTTTTGTTTGTCAGAAGTATAGCTCAGTATTTTGATCCTTGCATATAAAGGGACTAATTTGCACCAAAATCAAGTTTAAGAATCACTTACAAAGCGAAGAATAAGGATGCTTTAATCACGTTCTAAGGAGTCATAAACTTGTATTTAGTTTGAAATGGTTTGAATGTGGATCAACTTCAGACAAATTTAAAAAACTCAGTTTCGCCTGATCTCCCACATTTTTATTTATTGGATTAATTTGGGGAGGTGAAAATTGCAACTTTTCCAAATCTTGAGGAGGATAAATATCACTGTATCAAAAGTTATTTGGTTTTTTTTCTTTCAACTTCTAGATCTTAGACAGCCGAGTGTTTGTACAATATTAACTGACCACCTTGCTAATTCAAATAAGGTAAATAAATATAGTACAAATAATAGTATTGGAATTGAAATTGATCTATTATTTTTCTTTTTTCTGCTTTGAAAAGGATCTATTAATAATCTTTGACAAGTTTACTCCATCTCTCTCTCTCTGTATTGTTTAGGGAACTATTGACAGTACGGATTTGCACCAGTTCGGGTCCTGCGTGGGTGATCCATTTCTCCAACAAAAAATCAGCAATGATTTCAACAAACCGGAAACTTCAGAGAAGGATACGCCCCGCACATCGGCCATTGAACACAAGAGGCAAAAGTCGCTATCTAATTTCAATCTAGTGGTGACAACGCTTATCGCAACCGTCACTTTTACAGCAGCTATAACCCCTCCAGGTGGATTTAAAAGCGACGGAAAGCTGGTTCTATCGGAAGATCCATTTTTCCAAGTATTTCAGATTTTCAACTTGGGATCCTTCATGATCGCAATGCTTGCGATCTGTAACGAATCAACTCTAACACGTGTACTGTCAATCCAAATAACCACACCTGCAGTTCTCATTCAGTATGCCATCGTAGCGTTGCTGGTAGCATTTACGTCGGCCACGATGGCAGTGACGCCCAAAGACCAAAGAATAGCTACACGTATTATAAACCCCGTCGCTTTTCTTCTGTGTATAATTGGTATGTTGGGGCTGCTACTTGCTTTGATCGTAGCTTTTACGACTATGATTCAAAAATTGAGGGAGAAACACATGGCACGTCGTTCCTTTAAGTGATTTATGGAGAAATACATGGGAGATGTTTATCTTAAAAATTGCTTAAAATCACTTAAAGTGATTGTATGATGAAACATGTGAGAGATGCTTCTCTCCCAAACAGGCCCTTAGAAGTTCATGATAAGTCTTTTTGGTTTTTTTGTTTTAGTTTTACTAATTAGTTTTAGTAAGTGTTTCTTATTGGTTTCCTTATCATAAGTTATGTCAACTTTTATTTGTTGTGCTCTTTTTTTGTTTGACATTGCTTTATAGTTTTTCCAAATTATTTTTATAAGTTAGGTCATTCATAATTCAGCATAATTGGTTCTAGGTTTTTATTTGTTTGGGGCACCTAATCTTTCGTATTTGTATTTAATTAGTACAAGGATCCAAAAGGATAATATATTATTGTCGTTTTTTTCAATACAAATAATATTGAGGGAGGAGGAATCGAACCTAGAACCTCAGGTGCATAGATAAATGCTCTAACTACTCAAGCTCCTTAATTGTAGTTGACTGTTGATATAAAAATTGTTGATTGTTAATTACTGATATTTCTTCGAGTAATCCCACAAAAAATAAAAATATTCTTCGAATAATGGAATGTATAGGCACGGACTAACGATATTAATGATCTTGTTAATATTTCATTCATTAACTATATATAAAAAGAAAAAGAATGAAATGTAAAAAGGAAAATAATGATCTTCTCAATATTTCATTCACTAAGAGCATCTTCAACAGTAATAGCAAAACCAAACTTTTTAAATTGAAGTTTGTTGACTTACGTGGCAATTTAAAAAGCTTTTGGCCAGTTTGATAATCATTTCAATTTTAGTTTTTAGTTTCCATTTTTTGTGCTAGAGTATAGATAAAAATGAGGGAGAATGAACGTGAGAATGAGAGGGAAGATGAGAGGAGAGGATGGGAGGGAGGAGTAACAAAAGTTTAAACAAAAACTAAAAAACTAAAATATATTTGAGATGGTTTTCGCTTTTAAGTTTTTATTTTCACTTTTGTTATTCATCCCTCAATCCTCTCCTCTAATCCTCTATCTCAATCACATCCTCACTCCCATTCTAACTCTCATTTTCCTCTATACTCGAGCACAAAATGAAAACTAAAAACTAAAATTAAAATAGTTATCAAATGACCTTTTGTTTACTACTTTAATATTTTGTGCCCCAACAGACTCTTCAACTCAATTAATACAATGTTATGGAAAAGAATGAAAAATATGAAAAACATGTGAAAAATATGAAAACATGTGCCCCAGCAGCAGACTAAGTTTGACAAGGCTGTTGGAGCAGATTTTGATGATGTGGCTCACCTATTTTAATATTCCAAAGATATTGAAAAGATTGTTAGAGATGCTCTAACAATCGCAAAAATTATAACAACTTTGACACATGATCGTAGAGTGGACAAGACTGCTATTAATGAGGAATTCTCAAATGCCAATGACTTTTTTCTTGGTGACAATTTTGGAGTACAGGCATGCAGTACGGACACGTATTTGTATAGATATAAAGACACATTTTCATTTTCTCTTTCAACTTCTACTGGCTCTATCCAACAACAAAAAAAAGAAGAAAAAAAGTTTAGGATGTGTTGAGTAAAGTTTGATCATATAATTTGGCCCTAGGGTGAACTTGGAAATTCTGTCAAATTATCTGTTAAGTTGATGGGTGAACTTGGAAATTCTGTCAAATTATCTGTTAAGTTGATGGGTAAATTTGGAAATTCATTCCAAATATTTATAAAAAGAATTGAACTAACAAAATAAATTAAATAAGAAAAAAAAAATTAAATAAAACTAAAACCAAAATATAAAGAAGAAAGAACAGGGAAAGACCTATTTGCTCCCAAATTTATGGTCTTAAAATTGCCCCTAAAAAATTGGCCACTAAATAGAACCAGTAAGTTCAACATACGTTTAAATTTAAGGAGGATAAGAACCTATTTTTGTCCATGATGGAGTTTATGGACAAAAATTGAACTCGTGGTATAGTTGATAGCCATTAACAATTTATCCTATTTTTTATTATTCAATCATAACAAATTCCATGAGATGTTACCCATCAAAAAGGTTTCGCTGACACATTTGTATAGAAAAAAGTACATATATTTTAATTTTCTCTTTCAACGCTTGAGGCTTTTGTTTTATGGCGAAATTTCAAACAGAACATGGAAATATCACCGAATTAAATAACCATTTACAATACTAAATAATCATTTGCGATGTGTTTTTGTACCCTATTTAATAATAATGTTACAAAGCATAGTCGATTTTCCAATGTGTGCTTATAATATCTACTTTTTCTCGATATGTTTGTAGGAAAGCATAAGTTTACTTGATCGTCAGGTTTTGCATCACCTGGGGCTTTCAGTTGGTATCCCATTTTTTGCAACAAAACATCACTTCCGATTTCATGAAACCGGAATCTCCGGGCAGCGTTGCACACGAGAGAAAAATGGGATGAATGCATGTCAGTTAATTGATTGACCTATAACCCTCATCACCCGATTGACCTGTTATGGCAGTTAATTGAATAAATGGGATGAATTAAGCTATCCAGTATCCATGATGACTTTCGAAGTTGATCCAACCATGCGCATGAAACGCTGTTCCTTAGTTTTAAAAAATTTATTGTCTTGCTTTGATTTGTTTTCTTAGTTTTCTTTTTGCTTTGATTTGTTTTCTTAGTTTTCTTTTTTCCTTTTCTTTTCCTCAAGTTTCTTAGTAGCCATGGAGATAAACCAAACCGGCAGGCAAGTTTTTAGTTAATGCGGTTAGAAACAACCAATCTGGTCTAGTTTTTAGAACAGTAAGAAAATACAGGGAGAGAGAAATTAAAAAAGAGCCGCGAGAACTCACAGGTTTCTAAAGTGTTTTCAGCCACTAGTTGTCCTATAAATATAGAATGATCTAGTTACAATACATTATATAACTAATAGGATGTTTCTAGTGTAGAGCCGACTTTAACTTGTCAACTTCTCTCAATTTTTCTAGATTATTCTATATTATTCAAGACACAAATGTGCATTAATTTTAACAAAAAGCAACGGCACGGCAGTTTTTTAAGGAGAGCCATCATTCCAAGAGTTCTTGTTATTTGATGCCCTCTCCTTCTTGTCAATTCTTTTGGTGTTTCATCATTTCATGGTGGCAACGGTATCAGTTGTAGCTGCACCTTCAATTCTCATTCAGTATCAAGCAGCATTCGTGAAAAAGACTAGCCGCAAATGGTTCGTGACGCGCATAATTTGATGGGGCTTTGTTTTGATAGGCCCTTTTGTTTTATGGGCCTCAAGGTGTATGTCGTGGATCCATCTTTATGCGATGTATTGGGGGCTGGTTCTCCTTTCCTTGTAATGCAAAATTTCCTACAATAATGTAGCCCAATTCTAATGAAAAAAACTCTCAGCCATGCTACCTTTAATAGAAACATGGGCACAGTCCCGTTTAAAATGAAAATCTGGACCTTTGTTTATAACATAGATGTTGGTTGACATTTGGATTTAAAGATGATTATATCTAAACCATTGGGTTAATATGGCTGTTGCAACTGACTTCATATTTGGCTGAAATCTTTTGGATTAAACAATCTAATCTGGGCCATTCATTATTGTATAGCTCTTGGGAGGAGAGAGAAGGAAAATCGGGGACATATGGGGTGCACGGCACCCTCCAAGGCAGGGGACATACGCAAAACAGGGACAACAAATCCTCTTCCGCGTGACAAAAGAACTTGTATATCACTTCCACGCGTCTCTCTCACCCAGTCTCCTTTAATGGAGTAGTAGGACATTATCTCCTTCTCTAGTTGTTCACTTGCCGACACTTAGGCTGCCCTTACTTTAGTCAACATCATGGACTTTACAGTTAAGTAATTAAGTTTGACACGGAAGACGACTGGAGTCCAAACATAATATACAACACAGAAACTGAGGTCCTGTATGAGGACATACTGATGGCGACTAGGGACCAGATGTGTGGTCCTCAGAGAGAGAGAGAGAGAGAGAGAGAGAGAGAGATTTTGATAACACAAGTTAAGAGAGAGGGAGTTCATAATTAAGTACTTGAACTAGCCGTGAGAAAGCTGGGAGAGGGAGTTCAAGTTCATGGATCCTTCCCTTTATAAGGCGGCAAGATCAGGAGACCTTGGTTTCTTGAGAACAGCTAGAGATAGCAAAGTATCAAATAGTTTTCTTGATCAGAAAACTCCTAAAGACAACAATATACTTCATGTCGCAGCTGAATTCAAGCAAATAGATTTCTTCAAAAACGCCCCGCTTGATGATCAATCTCCCTTGTTTTGGGCCACCAACAAGAAAGGCAACACTCCCTTGCACGTTGCTGCAAGAGTAGGCTGTCATGAAGTTGTAAAGTTTCTCAGCGAACACGCACAGAGAACACTAATTGATCCAGCTGATCAGGAGAGTGGGCCAGCTGATGCGAATGCTCATAAAGAGCTACTCCGAAAGACGAATTCACAAAAGGATACTGCGTTGCATGTTGCTGTCCGCAATGAACATGCTGGTGTGGTGACTCTGTTAGTGGAGGCCGATCCTCAATTGTGTTCTTTCACTAATAGCGCCAATGAGTCGCCATTGTTCATAGCTGTTAGAAATGGCTCTGCAAACGTTGTTCTTTATATTTTAAATGAGTCTCCTATACTTCCTTCTTTTCATGGGACTAATGGTGTGACGGCTTTGCATGTGGCAGTAACTCGCAAACATCTTACAGGGAGAGGTAAACATCAACTGATACCCCTCTCTTTTTTATATTTAAAATATACAAAGAAATATTCTTCTGCTAGATTTCGTAAGGCAAATACTTTCTGTATATATGGACCACAGAGTTTAGTAACAATCATCTGGATTAGTTGTCTAGATTCATAATTTGATATGTTGCCAGACAAATCGGTGGAAGAACATTATTCTACATAAACATATATACAGAGCCGCAGGGAGGCCTAGGGCAGAAGTGGCCTTGGCTCCTTTTTTTTAATTCTTTAGTATGTCTATAACATATGGTGTCCAAATCATTGAATTCGGCTTCGCCTCTGCGTATATATATTTGGGATTGCTTCATGTGGAGTCCAAATCGTCATTGAAGAAATTCTCAGCTCCTTGCCCATAAACCAGCTCTAATTTTTTCCTCTGTGCTAGGCATTGTGGAGACCATGGTGTCCCAAAACCCTGGTATAATAAGAGAAGTCGACGAACTTGGGTGGACTCCCTTACATTATGCAGCCTTGGGAGGAAATCTTGAAGCTACAAGAGTGCTCTTGCAACTCGATAGTGATGCTTCTTACATCTTAGACAAATCTGGAATATCGGCACTTCATGTCGCAGCCTATGCGGGCTGCACCAAAATAATGGAAGAGATGATTGGATGTCGACCTGATACCTGTGATTTGCTCAATGACAAAGGCCAAACGATTCTACATGCTGCAGTTTTAGGTGAACAAATAAATGTTGTGAATTATATATTGAAGAACCATAAGCTTGCAGGACTTATAAATGAAGTAGATAACGATGGAAACACTCCTTTGCATCTAGCTGCCCGTCAACACAATCGCAAAATTATAACAACTTTGACACATGATCGTAGAGTGGACAAGACTGCTATTAATGAGGAATTCTCACAGGCCGTTGACTATTTTCTTGGTGATAATCTTGGCGAACAGGTATGCAGTAATATACACGGACGCATATTTGTATAGATATAAAAACTCATATTTTCATTTTCTCCTTCAACTTCTACTAGCTCTAGGATGTGTTGAGTATAGTTTGATCATAATTTGGCCCTGGGTGAACTTGGAAATTCTGTCAAATTTTCCGTTACGTTATGGGTAAATTTGGAAATTCATTCCAAATCTATATATATAAAGCAAAAGGCAGAGAATAGTGAAACATTCAAAATACCAGAAAATACCCTTGGTTAATTCAAACATTAAGCATTGAAATTATTAATTAAATGAGGATAATATGTTAAATTCACATTTTTCCATATTAAAAAATTAAAATTAAAAACAAAATCAGATAATAGGTCATACTTTTATGGAACATAACTACCCATGTTATCTTTTCTTAATTCTAAAAATAAAATAAAAAGAAAAAAGAAAACCAATTGGCACATGCGTGAGCATGTGCCAAGGGGCTAGTATTTATAAAAAGAATTGAACTAAAAAAATAAAACTTAAATAAGATAGAATAATTAAATAAAACTAAAACCAAAATATAAAGAAGAAAGAACAGGGAAAGACCTATCTGCTCCTAAATTTTGGATCTTAGACCATCCACAATGGGGCTCCATAAACTACCTTTTTAGACAAAATGTTAGAGAGGGATTGGAAAAATACAACTCCAACCATGCTCCCTATTCACCTCCTAAAATAGGGAGACCTCTAGGAGCTCCTAAATGTGAGGAGAGAAAAAGGAATCCTAGTGACGCTCTATAATTTATTACTGCTTTATTTAATGAGTATTTCAAATCTTTAATTCATGCTAACTATTTTTTATATTATTTTTTAATTGAGATGGACCAATTAAAAAAAGAGTTATAGCATTTATGACTCCCTAAACTAGAGAGCATGATTGGAGTTTAAATTTTGAGTGATGCTACATTTACCACACTTTTATCTCACATTTCTATACCACATGAGATGGCATGTCCATATCATATGCCACATTAATTAAATCAATGAAGTGTATTTTAATAAAGAAAGTTTAATTAACAGTTTTTTTTTAAATGTTAATAAATCATAAAAGAAAAGAAAATATTAAATAATTTTAATTGATGTGGCTATCCATCTCATCTGCCACATAAGGTGGTATGAGAATGTGGCATACAAATGTAGTAAGAGTAGCATTATTCTTAAACTTTATAGAGAGCTCCTAAAATAACTTTATATGTTTTTAGCTAAAATTTAACTAAAAAATAGTGAGCATGATTGTAGATGCTCTTAAAACTCCTATTTGCCCCTAAAAATTGGCCACTAATAGACAAACTTGACATAAAGAACCAGCATTGCAACAGATGTTCAAATTTAAAGAGGATACTATTGATGGAGTTCAGGGACAAAAATGCAATTCGTGGTATAGTTCATGGACCATTAACAATTTAAACTATTTCTTATTATTCAATCATAAGAAACTCCATGAGATGTTACCCATAAAAAAGGTTTCTCTTACACATTTGTATAGAAAAAAGCACATATATATATATATATATATTTTTTTTCATTTTCTCATTCAATGCTTGAGACTTTTGTTTTGTGGCGAAATTTCAAACATAACATTGAAATATCACTAGACTAAATAACCATTTATGACACTAAATAGTCATTTGCAATGTGTTTTTATACCCTATTTAATAAATGTTACAAAACATAGTCGATTTTCCAATGTGCACTTATAATATCTACTTTTTCTCTATGTTTTTAGGAAAGCATAAGTTTACGTGATCATCAGGTTTTGGATCACCTGGGGCGTTCAGTTGGCATCCCATTTTTCCAACAACAAATCACTTCCGATATCAAGAAACCAGAATCTCCGGGCAACGTTGCACACAAGGGAGAAAAGCACCAAGCTCATTCAGATCAAGTACCAGAAGGACGTGATATCATTCTACTTGTAGCAACGCTTATTGCCACCGTCACATTCGCAGCGGGGCTCAATGTTCCTGGCGGATTTAAAAGCGACGGAACAGCAGCTTTACAGGATTCTAAATTTTTCGTGTTCTTTATTACACTTAACACAGCAGCATTTTCACTAGCATTTATCGCGATCTATATTGAGTTAATCGGAACAATCATAAAATTTCAATTAGCCATACCCACAAGTACAACTCTCATTCAGTGTTCCATTATTTGGATGGTGATGGCATTTTTTTCCGGCACGTTAGCAGTGATGTCGACAGCAGGCAGAGTGGGTATGTGCTACGGAGTTTTGACAGATTTCTTATTAATTGGCACCTACATGTATCTACAGAAAAGAAGAAAGCCTACAGCCAAGTTCAAAAAGATCCACATAATTTAATGGCACTATTTTGTTGTGTCTACATTATTATGTTTCATATGTATAAGTCAATCTCTGTAACACATTATTATGTTTGGAATTTTCAGCTTGGCATTTGTATCTATTGATCCAATGTAACGGTCCTAAATAAATATTTAATTATTAATTTATTCAGATAAACAACCATTTTGCCCTTAGAATATTTTATTATGTTTAAAGTTGACTTCTTGATTAGGGAGGAATTTGGAAATTTTGACTGTACCGTTGCATAGAGCACGGCGAGATGAGTCCGTAGACATGAAATGGGCTCAAATCGGAGTTGTAACGAAGAAATGGCAATCAAAAGAAATTTAGTGACATAATCGTAAATATTTCGAAGTTCAATTTTTAAAAACCCGGATTTCTTCTCTCTGGGCAGTGGGGACGAGCCAACTTCAAATGGTGATTTCTCCCAACTCCGGCCACCAATTCAAGCAAGAACGGTCCCGTTAGAACAACCACACTTCCCTCTTCCAGTCCCAGCCCATCTCAGCCTCTATCCGCAGTCTTGGTTGCCGGAAACCGCTACGAAATAGGGTGGTTTGGACAGTTTTTGACGGAATTTCGCGGAGCTCATTCGGACACCTCCGGCCACCATTTTCTTCGAATTTGGTATGATTTTCTATCCTTTCAATGTGTTCTAGCTGATGGTTGGGTAGGATTTGAACAATTTCTAGCGTAGGCAACTCGATTTGTAACCCAAAATTTGGCCGGATTTCGGGATGAGATTCCGGCCACTTCCGGTCATTTTTTGGGATAGGTCCGAGAACAAAAGTTGTTCCAAATAGGGTGTTACACCTAGGGTAGGAGTATTGAGCCGTGATCTTGAGATTTTCCGGAGAAGTGTTATCCCTTTGGACACCCACGCTCTACTAGCGTGTGTGGCGTCGCGTGGGCACTGTAGAAATGGGGCATTGTGTCCTAATGTGATCTTCTGGTCCTCATCAGTGCATAGGTTCTTTCGGATTCCGATTCGGTTGACGTTTGAACCCCGAACGATTACGCTTATTATGTGTTATCCGGGTTCGATATGTTCGGACAGTTGGATCGAGTCCAAATTAGTATATGTTGATCTAGGCACTCATAAAATCGTGTAGGAATTCACGGATTGTGGATTGGAGCCTCGGATGTTCCGATTTAATAACTTAAAGTTTGTATTTTATAATAACCGTCCGATCGGGCGATTGCGAGCAATCCGACCGTTTGATCTAGACCAAACTTGTAGGACGTGTATCCTAAGTCTTGTAGAACCTATAGGAACTTTCGGATCAGAATTTGGAGGTCGCGGGCCCGTGGGCCCGTTTGACCAGTTTGGGTAGTTTGACCCTTGGTTGACCGTGAGTCTTCCAAGGTAGTTTTACCTTCCTAGGAGGATTATAATGACCCTAGTGACAGGTCTTGAGCGTTGTTGAGTTATGTTGATTATGTGGGATTAGGATATTAATTTATTGTTTTTAAATTGAGGGATTATCAGATGCTATATTGTGGTAAGGTTATTGCAATATGGGAAATTATAGAGATATATATATATATATATATGTATATATATATATATATATTAAAGAGATAAAGATGTTTGATTACATTGTGTAAGTACATCTTGTGATTGTTAGGTCTCACGTGACGTAGGATTTTCCGGCGTTGAGACGGACCCCATACATGGCGTTAGATTTTCCAGCGTATAGGGAGATTATGTGATATTATGTTGAGGTCACATGTGGCGTAGAATTTTTCGGCGTGTTGATAGACCCCATACGTGGCAGTGGATGTTCCGGCGTATGGGGAGATTATATGATTGTTAGTCCCACGTGGCATAGATTTTCTGGCGTGAGGACAGACCTCATGTGTGGCGTTGGATTTTCTGGCGTATGAGGAGATTATGTGATATTATGTTGAGGTCACACGTGGCGTAGGATTTTCCGGCGTGTTCACAGACCCCATATGTGGCGTTGGATGTTCCGGCGTATGGGGAGATTATGTGATTGTTAGGTCCCAAGTGGCGTGAGGACAACCCCTACGTGGCATTGGATTTTCCAGCGTATGGGGAGATTATGTGACATGAGATGATAGGTCACACGTGTCGTAGGATTTTCCGGCATGTTAACAAACCCCATACGTGGCGTTGGATTTTCCAGCGTATGGAGAGATTATGTGACATGAGATGATAGGTCACAAGTGGCGTAAGATTTTCCGGCGTGTTGATAGACCCGGTACGTGGCGTTGGATTTTCCGGCGTATGGGGAGATTATGTGATTATTAGGTCTCACACTTGTCGTGGGATTCTTCCGGCGTGTGAGAAGACTCCATACGTGGCGTTGGATGTTCTGGCGTATGGGGAGATTTTGTGATTAACAGGGAGATGAATAAAGGTATAATACGTGGTTGGAATCGGGATTTAGTGGAAGAACTACGTGTGGCTTAATCCCTCAGTAAGGGTATGTAGGCAGCCTAGGGTAGTGCCTAGGTGCAGTCGCGGGCTAAACTTTACTCTGACCCGTTGTTGGTTTTGAAACTCAGTTGAAACGAGGCTTGTCCGTTGGACTAAGTGAGTGTGATTGTGTGATTGTGGTTCAGTTAGGTTTGAAATCCTTTTTGGATTGTTGCACGGTTTAGGCTAAGGCCCTAAACTATTTGTGATAGTGATAGGAGGTTAAAACCTCACATGTTGGATGTTTGGGAAAGTTAAATGTTGTGGATTTCTTTTGATATTCTTAAGTGTGATTGAATTTATAATTTGCCTTATATAAGGTATTAATTGACTTGATAGCGTGGTTGGTGGTTTGCTTCGAATTATCAGAAGGTCGGAGGCCATTAATGTAAATTGCATGTTGTTAAATTCTGCATGTTGCCAGTTGGATTATATCAAATGTGTTTTATGCAGGTGGAAATTTTGGGAAATGTTCAATTTACAGGAGAGACTCTGCCGAATTTTGGGCAGAAAGTCTCGTTCCCTTACTCCTTTTGAAGGAGGTTACAGTTTTAGTGAGTGGGGCCCGACATCGGTATGATGTCAGGAATTCCACAGGATTCATTCCGAGTTTCGAGGAATTCGGGGCGGGTCCTATCATCCAATATGACGTGGATCTTACAATTTACATTTGACTTAGATGGTCAACGAATTAGTATGTGATAAATGCTCTACACTGCTTCTAAAATTGGTATTTGAAGATTGGGGGATCAACTTACATTTGTAATTATAAGCTTCCCAAATCTGCAAATATGATTCACAAATAAGTCTCCATGTTTGCACCCTCCTGCTGCAGGATACTATGGATGTTATATAACAAAAAGGATGTCTTGAATGCATGGTGAGATACCTCAGACCGGTCGTCAACAATCCCCATTCTCTCCTTTTTGTAACATTAAGGAGTGTTAAAATTAATGCACACTTGTGTCTTGAATAAAATAGAATAATTTGGAAAATTTGAGAGAAGTTGACAAGTTAAAGTCGGCTATACACTAGGAACATCCTACTAATTATATAATGTAATTATAACTAGATAAATCTAGAATTAGAAGATAACTTGTGGCTAAAAATGACTTTGGATAAGTCGGTTACTGTGCAACCGACTTGTCCAAAGCAAAGTTGCCGACTTAGCATCCCTATATATAAGCTAGCAGCCCACTTATATAATAAAGCAAGAAAAGCTGAAAACTACTAGCTGCCTTGTATCCACTAAGTCTCTAAAGCTTTGTCACTTTGTGAAGAACCGTATTTTAAACCGATAAAAGAAGATATTTATCTTTTGGATAAACTTGGACGATATTATCTTTTTAAGATATTTATCTTTTAGATAAACTTGGATGATCTTATCTTATTAGGATATTTATCTTTTGAATAAACTTGGATGTTCTTATCCTTCTAATATTGAAGTTTATCCTAGCCCTATAAACACTATAAATATGAGCATAACTTTATAGTTTCAAAACTCGAGAAATTAGAAAGAAGGAAAGAGAGTGGTGATGAAACTCTTGGAGCTTGGTTTGGGTGATAGTACATGAAGATAGATAGATGGGTTGTCTTGCCAATTTATTTTACGAGCTCTCATTATCAAGGTGTGTGTTTTATGTAATGTGTTCTCAAAGTTCTTATTTTGTGATAAAATATGAAAACCATGAAGTATCGTGGATTTGTTCTATTTACAAATATCTCTCTATTTCAAGTCAAGCATGTCTAATTTGGTGCACATTGTAACGACCTGGTCCTAAATAAATCTTTAATTATTAAGTTATTTAGATAAAAGAACATTTTGCCCCTCTAATATTTTATTATGTTTAAAGTTGACTTTTTGATCGGGAAAGAATTTGGGAATTTTCACTGTACCGTTCCGTAGAGCACGGCAAGATGAGTTCGTAGACACGTAGTGGGCTTGAATCGGAGTTGTAACGAAAAAGATACGATCATCAATGGATCAATTGTAATTATTGCGAAAAGGGTTTGATAAAATCTGATTCTCTCTCTCTCTCTCTCTCTCTCTCTCTCTCTCTCTCTCTCTCTCTCTCTCTCCCCCCCCCCCCCCCCCCCCTGTACTATTCACTGATGGCCATTTTTGGCCACCCCCGTAGCCACGGAGCATCATTGGCCACCAAACCGGTCAGGTTCGAACTGCTGCCACCCCAGAAGCCTTTCCCGACCATCTCCGACATCAACCACCGCCAGAATTTGCCGGAAAAAGCCGTGAAAAGTCGTCAGTTTTTGACAATTTTTCCCCGGCTTCGTTCTCTGTCATTTGGCCACTTTTTCCGACGAGTGAGGTATGCTTTCTCACCTATTTTTCATGATCTAGCTGATGGCTGGGTAAGATTTCAGAAATTTTAAGCATTGATAGATCAATTTTTGAATTGAAATACGGCCGATTTTGGGATCGCGATTTCGGCCATTTTCGGTTACTTTTTGGTGTAGGCCTGAGAACAAAAGCGACTCCAAATAGGGTGTTACACCAAGGGTAGGAGTCTTGAGCAGTGATTTTGAGTTTTTCCGG